AATTTCATGAAAAAGATGACATTTTGATGTCATGGTTGAAGTAGTGTGGTCAATTTCAGAATTGTATCTCGCAAACTGATTTTATTTTCAGTATTTTAACTTTTATCCTTGGAAACTGTTGCAGTCAATTGAATCAAGAACTTCTTTAAACATCAGTTTGTCACTTATGTAGCAATCAGTCTTTGCTAAACCTTTAAAAACAGACCTTTTGTGAACCGCCACGGGAGATTATTGTTTTTATGATTCTGTTTAATCTAAAATAAGAACCATGATAGCCAGAGCATTTATTCTTTTAGTAGCAGAATGCTAAGGCATCTGTCCTTCCCGTCAGCACATCATGACCTTATGTTACCTCACCTCATGTGTCCTGCAAACATGATATTTTGCCTTTATTACGCTGGTATTTCTCTGTAATGGCCGCAGGAGATCACTGTTTCCATAAACCCTTGTGTGTGTGTGTGTGTGTGTGTGTATATATATATATATATATATATATATATATCAAGCTTAAAATAAAACTCATAAAAGATAGAGCATTCATTCTTTTAGCAGCAGAAAGCTAAGGCTTCTGTCTTCCCCACCATCATGTCATTACCTTATATTACCTTTCCTTACATGCCATGCAAACAAAGCATTTTACCGTAATTACACCTGAATTTCTCCTGGGAATTTCTCCTTAATGGCTGTAGGACATTGTTGTTTGCATAGTCCTTTACGTATATAGATCTCACATAAAAACCATATTAGCTAGAACATTCATTCTTTTTGAGGCAGAATGCTATGGCTTCTGTTTTCTGTGTCATCATGTCAAATGCTCATAGTTTCGTCATTGCACTACGTTACATGTGGTGCACCAGAGGAACGAATGATGACTCCATCACGCCTTTGCACTCTGCTTAATAAATGAGTATATCTCAAAATGAAATAATGTACAGAGTACAAATAACTTTTCCAGTTTTAAGACATAGTCTGTTTAAACTCGATAAAGTCTGATGAAAATCAGATTTTTGTATTATTTTTTATTGACACAGTTTAAATACTTTTATCAATTATTATGATTTACTGACTTTAATAATATAATAATAAATAACATTTAATAACATTTTAGCTTAAGATGTATAGATTTTAGGAATATAAACAATTAAAGCAACTTCAAGAAATAAGCAAAACTACCAATGTAGGCCCTGGTGGACCACTTCTATTGCAGAGTTCAGAAGGTTTAAATAAATTACAGACAACGCTATGTTTTCTAGCTGAAGAACAAACATTTTTTGAATTATGTCTGGTTAACAGATTTTTTGACACTAGTTTCTAGAAATGTGCCTTTACATGCAACCCTGGTGTTTGCCGTTGCCCTTGCCCTTAGTGTCTGTGGTTGTGAGTGTAAGTCTTGAACAGACATGTTAATGGCCACTCAGGCACTGTGCTGTGTGGAATAGTGATGCGTGATTTCAAAGAGGTATTTTTAATTATAATAAGACATTTGAAATAGTTGTAATAGTAGCAGTTCTGCTGATGGACTCTCCTGTGTTTCTCATTTGTCTTCCTCCTCTTCCCTTCTTCATCATATTTTTATACCAAACAAAAATACTGAAGAAACTGAGATTTTTATTATTATTATTATTATTATTGTTATTGTTTTTTAATAGTTTATTTATGTTATATTTAGAGTAAGCATATTACTTTGTTGTTACTGACTATATTACAAAAAAAGGGAACCATGACAGAGATGGACTTGCCTTTTCAAGGCATGTAGGAAATGGCACAGTTTTCAATTTCCAAGGTGGCATTACTCACAAGGGCCCGTTGTCTGCCCAACACTATTGGAGAGCTGCCATCTCCATGCCCCCCCACCCCAGGGGCACCCACACAACCCCACCGCCTGCACCATCCGCATCCATGCCCCTGTGTGCCATGCAAATCAACTGCTTTGTTGTGACGCATTTCTGTGCAGTGTAAACACATAGCCATTTCCTGCTATGGATTGTAGGTGACAAAAAAGGCTTTGTTTGTGACTGCTTATGGCCTTGTGGGAGTATACGACACTATATATACACATAAATATCATCATTAACCGCTGTCAGCAGCTGCCCTGGAGGCTATTTTAAGCACTCTGATGTGTAATATCAGAAGATGTAATGCAATGAGTAGGGCGATGTTTCCTAACACTACAAGCTTCACCTGCCCAGTCCCTTCACACGTGTTTGCACACCAACCTTTCAACTTGGGACCAAGAGAGGTATGTCCCGACAAGCATGCCCAGGCCATTATGACAGCTCTCCAGTGGCTGCGTCCACTTTCAGTCCCAGCTGAATGAAGTAGTCAACAGGCCAAAGTCATAGTGAATAACACTTGAAAGTAGGTCAGACTTGTTCAGGGATAAAGCTAGGCCAAAAAGATTGGTAACAAGGTTATTGTTTTAGCAGCTGTTTTTTATTTAGTATGAGCTGTGGCATCTACTTTTGTGTACTTTTGATCACTGTATAATAAATTTGAATACTTTCCTCTATATTTCATGTTTCAGTCAGGAGCTCAGCAGAAACTATTACATTGCTTCCTTTAATGTGGTTCTGTGATCCAATATCCCCACATTAGGGAACGTGTTTCGGTCTTCCTGGGAATCAGTATAACAGCACTTCTTAGTGTTGTGTACAGACTCCATTTGTTGTGAGCTCAACAAGACACCTATTGCCCAACTGTGCTACTTTGCAATCATTACACATTTACACCCAAAGCAAGTTGACAGGTCCATGATATACCCCATACTGAGGCAACAGATTTAGTCACATCTGAGCGACATGCTAATGCCTGAGCTGACAGCTCTGACTGCTCATCGCTTCTCAGCTAATTTGTCAGTTTCTTTTTTTTCTTCTTTTGAAAACTCTCATCACTCTGACACCAGCTGATGGGATGTTAGCTACCACATGTGTGTGCCAATAGCTGCTGTTACATTGGTTAGCGATGTTAAGGTAGATCAAATGTAAGTGCAGTCTCAAGACATGGTTCAAACTGTCATTTCTGTCTGTTCTCAGGGCATATGGAAAAAAAACACAAGTAGAGGAGAATTCAAGCTCGAACTATATTAATTAATAAAATAAAATGAATATTTTCCCTGAAATCTGTTGATTCAAAAAGAAAATCTTGGCCATCATCAGTGCTGATATGGAGAAACTTTGAGGAGGAACAGCTTGTAATTTAATTTTGCAGCATTGTAGCCCTAATTATGCGCTTATCTGTCTTTTCTATCTATTCAAGCTAATTCTTTGTATTTAAACAACAAAATATACACTGAAAATGAAACTGGTGCAGGATGTCTACACCTGACTATTTGTGGGGCTGAAATGTACACCTACACTTTGTTATGCAATGTGTTTTAACCTTTTGCAGCAAAACTAAAATAGCCATAGACAAGCAATACACAACATGTCACAGCACAGTAGGGGTCCTGCTGACAGACCAACCAGAGTGATGCGCAGATCAGATATACTGGATCAGCATTGCTGCCAATGTGGACGTCATTACATGGATCGAGTCATGGCCGGATGTGACTGAAACAAAACAGATACTATTTCTTAGTCACTGATGAAATAAAACCATAGCGACACAATAACATGAGGAACAATAAAGTAAAAATTAATTTTTTTTGTGTTTTTTGTTCACTCTGTCAATATAAATAAAAAGTGCATTACAAAATAATAATGATAATTAACAGAGGACAAATAGCATGTTGATGAGAAGTTTGACTGGTTCCACTTCTTTAGTTGACACTCCACACTGAAGTATAATCCTTTTCAGTTCCACTTTGCAAGGTTTATAGGCTGCCCACTTCTCACACTTATTCACATACTGAAAGCAGTACCAGGGAAGATTCATGTCATGTTGGTACAGTATGAGCATCATTCCTCATGTTTCTTCTCTGTATCGCTCTTTTGCAGGTGCCAGTGAAGTTTCTCCCTCACAGAAGCCTCGTAGCAGAGGCCTTTTCCACAGTCTCTTCTGCTGTCTATGTAACAGAGAATCAGAGCCCCCTCCACTAAAGAACAGTGCCCCCCTCTTGGTAGAAGAAAATGGAACTCTATCAAAAGTAAGTTCATCTCTCAACATCCCCCTCTCACTTTTCCATGTGATATCGAATTTCTGTCACCCTGATCGTCTTTGAGCAGCCTGTGGTCAGTGTGATTGACAGCCATGTGATGCCTGAAACACATGTTTTCTTGGCTCGAAGCTTTTCGTGTTTACTAGCGCATCTCTCCTGTGCTGAGAAGTGATGTATGGCAGTGTTGAAAAGCACTCCATGTTCAGACATCTATCAAGATGACTGGGTGTCACAAGAAAGATGGAAATGGTGTAAATGTTACAGGTGGATGTCTGACAAGAAGATCACTGCACTGCAAAGATAAACAAAAAACAGCTACTGTAGATGTGCTGTTAGTCATCAGGATAAATTAAGAGCTTGTCGTAGTCTCTAAATCTTTCCTGGAGTCATGAGGGTTTAATTCTAGAAACTAATAATTAATAATCAGTTATTAAATATTATAAACAGATCATTTCTGTTTGAATTAGAAAATTATGAATGATTAGGATGTTTACATATGCTGAGACAGTGCCTGATAATCCGTCAATGATTGACCACTATCACTTGGACAATTGCAAATACTCGCCATGGTTTTACTGAGTGTATTCTTGGAAAACAGCATGACTTTTGGCAGTTATGGTCCGAAGATCAAGTGGTCAAGACGTTCTCAGGTGTCAGTTTCAGATTTATGCCTTAGTTCAGCCTTTTATAGAGATTTGATATTCCAGAAGTTATTTGTCACGTCTTTCCAAGTCCCCAAAATAAATTGCTTGGTCTCTGGCAAAGGAGGGGTCGAGTCAAGTGCTAGGCTCAGTTTTGGTTGTGACAAACTGTCATATCAACATGCATGCTGCTCCTGTTGCTGTTACTCTCTCTTGGGGGCTGTGGTCTCAGTGACTCCCCCCACCAGCCATGTGAATATCCACTCTGAATGGACTCTCCAGTTACCTGCCAGTCATTTGGACTTGGACTCTGAATGATCTGGAATCAATGCATGGAGTAAAAACCTTAAACAAAATCCAGACAGAGAAATCATTTCCTGATGTATTTGGAAAACTCTGAGCAAAGCAAAGTCTCTGGGGAAGGGGAGCCGTCTACTGAGGCCATGCTTGCTGAACAATGCCAGGTTCCTAAATTAACAGAGGCTGCCGACTTAACCAGCCCTTCAAAGGGAAGTGCTGATCTTGGCATGAAGGTCCTTGTGGATTATACTGAGCAGACTGTTGTCAGCAGAGAAATTGACCCTTCTATCTTTTGTGTGGAACATTGCAACTTGAAAAGAGATGAGATGAAATCCTCCACATATTGCAATGGACAATCTGAGAGTTTTGCACAATACCCGGAGAGCAATGGATTGTTTGAATCCGACCAGATCCTTGGTCAGTGTGAGACTTCGGGGTTAAGCCAACCATTTGACGAATGTGCTCAACACTGTGAGTGTTTTAAACCTTGCAAGTCCTCTGAGCACTGTGCTAATCATAGCTTAGCTTCCAAATGTAGTCCTTGCTGTGAACACAGTGCAGAACACCTTCAGTTATTTCAGCAATGTAAGCCCTCTGATCAACAGTTCGAGTCTTTTGACTTTGAGCCAGATAAATTGGCAGTGAACTGTGACGGTTTCGGGCCGTGTGAAATGTCTGATTTCATACCTGAATGCACAGACCACCTCGACTTACTGCAACAATATGACTCCTCCGATCAGCAGGGTGAGTCCTTTGACTCTGAGCCAGACACATCAACAGAGGACTTTGAGCAATGTGAAATGACTGGTTTCACATCTTACATCTCTGACTCACTGGACTTACTGGACTGTGCCACCGAACTCCGTGAGTATGACGAATGCACCAATGATGACGATAATGAAGAGATCTATGCACCTGAACATGAGGATGAGCAAAATGACACGGAAACTATTGATGCAAATCCCTCACATTTCAACACACCTGCTCAAGTTTACTTTGATGACAGTGGAGATTTTCCATTTACAAGTGAATGCTGTGAGACACACCATCACTCTGAGGAAGATTCCCCACATGCCACTGCATTAAACACGTCCAGCGATTACTGTGAAATGTGTGAAACAGATTACTTTGAAACGAGCGAAGAGTATGATCAGCAATGTGCCACTTCAGACCAGTGTTCTGATGAGGCCTCTGAGTTTGGCACCGAAGAAGATGGTTCCTCAGATTGCTCTTCTATTGAAACCAAATCCTTCAAGACTTGTCCCGATGGCAGCATTCCTTCAGATCACTGCTCTGATTCATCTGGGCAGACGCAGTGGGAATCTTTTGAAGATGATGTAGAAATAGACCAAAACAATGTTAACATAACTAATGAGGATAAAAACAAAACGCCTGCTGTTGATGTTGTTATTGAGGATTACTTCGATCTGTTTGACAGAGCTGACTATTACGGACATGCCTTTGCACAAAAGCAACGTTACATCTCCTGCTTTGATGGAGGAGATATCCACGACCACCTGCATCTTCAAGAGGTTCAATCTAAGGCTCAAGCCAAATATGCAGACAAATTTAAAGAAATCAATGAGGAAATTCATGTACAGAAAACTGATACATGTTTTGATGCTCCCAAAGAAGCATGTGAAGATACTCATGAGGAAGATGCAAGTCAGAGAGGTGATGTCTCCTCTGGGTCTTGTGAGTCAGAGGAACAATCTGAAGATGAATCAGAATCAAGTTTAGCAGATAATGAAGTTGAAAGAGATGAATCAGAAGCTCAGGCCCTTTGTGCTGAGAACTGTGAGGAAACAGAGGAAGATGAGAACAGTTTTGATGGAGAAGCTTGTGCGTTTGATGGCCATGTTTCTGAAATCTGCAAAGAAGAAGAAACTGAGGTCTACCTGTCCTCTGGTAATGAGAGTATGAGTGCGCCATGTGCAGAGGACATCTTTGTTGGAGGTGATGCTTATGAAGAAGAATCTGTTGCCCACAATTATGAATCGATTTTTGACAATACCTCTACCACTGGACATTTACAGACAACTGAACCTGTGGACAAAGTATTTATCGCATGTTCAGAAATGGAGCCATATTGGTCACTTGTACACCATGAGGAAAATGGAGAGATGTGCGAGCTTGGTGTTGAGGAATACTATGCATATCAGATAAAAAGCATTCAGTCATCTGTTGAACAAGCCCTGAATGAATTTATTATGGGAAGAAGGTCATACGATCAGATAATCCATGGGGATGCTTCAAGGATTGAAACAGAAGATGCTCCTTTATCCCTGAATGACATACAAGCACATGAAGTTTGCCCAGAGGAGCACAAGGCAGTCAGATTTGAAAGTACAGAAGTTATTGAACTGAGTGAGAATTTGGCCAACAGCTCTGATGTGGAAAAAACAACCAGTGAAGAAACTCGGGAATCAGACGAAGACAGTGGAATCAGTGACATTTCAAGAGAAAAAAAACCTCCTTCAGATATTATTCACAGTGTTGTTTCGCACCCTGCAAAAAATAAGGAAAGGACTGAGGAAAACAAGCCCTCCGAACAAAGCACGGATTCAGAAGAGGAGCAAAGCGATGATGAATTTGATGAAGACTGTGAATGCGAGTACTGCAACCCACCAATAGAGGAGGTATAATACATCTTTGCACCACAGCTGTGAAATACTGACATTGATAAAATTGGGTTTTCAGAACTGTGCAAGAAACTTTGGGATATCCCAGAATCAAGGCGCATCTGTCATCAGTACTGTTGGCCTATTTTTTAAATTAAGATTGTACTACCAACTGTGGCAGTGAATAAGATACAGAATATCTCAACTTGGCAGACTGTGTCAGACTTCATTATCCTCACGTGGCAGTTCACTCTACTCAGACAAACACGTGCATCAGTGTTACAGGCAGCCTCTTCAATCGAGCCAGCTTGTTTTTAGCATCAGAATCACATTAACCAACACCGATCTCTGACCACTTGTTGAAGGATGACACAGAGTATGGTGATATTTACATGCTCCATCAGTGTGGCAGCAGCTGTAGCATCCAAGGTTTCCTGTAACCCCTCACACAAACGCCACAACACAACTCAGTGTCTTAAGTGACAAGAAACACACACACACACACACACAATGAGCTGTAAGTCCTCAAGACAAATCGAGATGGTTATTCCTTAGCTGCGGCTCATATTGTGGGCTTGAAAGCTAAAAGAAAGCTGTAATTAAGGAAAGTGATGAGCTTGAGATCTAAACTTAACTTTTGTCTTCAGGTTCCAGCAAAACCGCTGCTTCCACGGATGAAATCGAATGACGCAGGGAAGATCTGTGTGGTCATCGATTTGGATGAAACGCTAGTGCATAGTTCATTTAAGGTAAGTCAGCCTGTAGGATAAGCTAACAGGTGAACAACCACGAGCAGACATTTATTCAAAAGAGATGATTAAAGGATCAGTTCATCCAAAATAAAACTAAAAAATAATTTACATTTCCATCCAGATACTTTGTGCCACTATGCATGGAATATGTTTGTGGATATAGCATCATTCAAATAATTCTGATGGTATCAGCTTTTGTTTGGTTAAAAGTTTTGCAGTAATGCTTCCAGCCCATTCACCTCAGTGTCCCGTGCAAAGTTGTGTAGTAACATTGGATTCGAAGGTCTTTTCATGAATTAACAATACAACTTCCCAGATATTCTCCTGGGATTTCTTGTGTTAATTTTAATTAACGTCTTAATTTGGCATACAAAATGGCACATGTCAGGTATTTCCAGGCCCCCAGGGAAAGCAGCTCAGCTTCCTGCAATTTTTTCCCAGTGGCTACTCATGGTATTGCAGCGAAAAAATTCCCTGTGGCCCAAAAAGCATCTCCCCCATAGACGCTCATGGAGCAGTAACTTCCTGGAGGTTTGGCGTTAACAGTGAGGTTTCCAGGCAACCAGTGGAGACTCCAGGCAGGTAGTCCTCCCGATCAAGAAATAATCTAGTCCATAATCCCCAATAAAACCATAATTTGTCTTTTTACACTATGGATTAAGCTATAACCAGCTTTAGACATGCTGGTTGGATTTTTTTTTTTTACGTTGAACAGAGCCAGGGTAACTGCTTTTTCCCCTAACTGGAGATGCTAACTGACTGCTGGATATAGCTTCATAATTACATAGTGTTGAAATGTTTATGTTAGAAAAGCATGTCTACAGTTACTGCAGTACAGTGAAGCTCAATGAGATTTGATAGTGATATTGATATTTGATATTTATTTCGAACATGAAAAAAAGAACACACATGAACATTCATACAAACAAGCAGACAGACAGAAAGAAGGTAGTATTACATATACATTATAATATTGCCAGCGCATATTTGTTTTCATCATGCTAAAAGCTAATTAGTTCTAGATCAGAACCATTTGTTCACTTTGAGTTTATGCCTTCATTACCATCCCAAGCACATGACCTTCATCCAAAAATAGTTTCTGCACTGACCTAAATGCATACAGTGGTGCATGCTGGGTAAGTGTAATTGTTTTGTTGCTGAAAAATCTTTTTTGAAAATGTTTTATTTCAAAAATATTTTCATTTTTTATATTTAAACCTAAAAAAATGACTCCCTTCCATCCAAATAAGTTTACCACCTTTTTCATGTGGACTAAATGGCTCTTATAGCCTTTTTTATACTCTTGGCCTTTAATTACTTAAAGGTCATCAAGTATTCAAAAATAACTCGAAGCCTCTCATTGAGTATCCGCTGTTAGGCTTCTATGTTGACTGTTAAAGCAAACAGTCTACTTGCCAAGGCGAAAATAGCAAGAGGATTTGCACTACATCATTTTGCGTATTTTTAGGAGGCACATGATTTATTTTTATCATAAAGGACTGGGCTCATGTGCACCCTAAACATTAACCATTTATTTTATGTGTGCTCTGGTTTCACGACGCAGAACCCACCTGCACCCTCAGATCCAAGTGAGATGTAAGAAAGAGGTCATTAAAATCAGATTTTCAGGAATGAAAAGCAATCTGCTGAGGACAAGGACATGTTCAGCTGCTCACTGCAATGTGTCATTATGTTTGAGTATTGTAAATATGACAACAAAATAATTAACAATTATTCTTTAAAAATAGCTGAGGAATGCAGCGCTAACAAGTCATTTATATGTTGTACTTGCCTACACACCTCTTTGAATAGAATCTCTGCACAACATAATTTACAGAAGAGTGTAAATAAATCAGTGTTAATAAACTGTGAGTTAAGATGCTTGAAATAACATATTGAGTTTGACGCTGTTTCTACAAATAACTGGCTCCCTTTTGATCAGTTTGATACCTTTTAAGGTAGCATTCAGTGAACAAAGTAGTCAATGCCAAGAGTCAAGGCTCCTGTGTCGCGACAAATTATGTAATGAATGCCATGTGGTGTTTAGTCCTTCTCAGGTCACAGACTGTCCTAAAGGATGTCACCGGATATTGCCACTAGCTATGTGTAAATAGGATCAGACTCTGTGAACTCCATGTTTAACACAACGTGGATAATAAACCTCATTATTACTTTGACACACATGCTAAACATAGGTAACACGGTTTTGGAATTGGTTGTAGGTGAAAGGCAGAGGAAAGCCAGTGTGCTGTGGGACTGTTTTTCTTTTTTTAACTTTTAGAATATGAAATATTTCATTTGAAATTAAACTGGGTGAACTGAAACAAATGCACCTACACCAAAATGAGCTCAGAGGTATTAATATTACCCTTAAATCACTTCAATTTATGCCAGGTTCTGTAGCAGGTTGGCTCAGACCGTCACATTACCAAAACCACTCACCAGTGATCGGTCACCAGATGTTACATTTGTACTCCTATATATTGTAACTACCATACAGAAATGTAAACACAAATTAAATACAGCACAGGGCTTAAAATTGTGTCTAATTTGTAAATTTTGTCGTGATGATAAAGAATCAGAAACTGATATATTTAAGTGCTGCTCTTTAATGGCGTCATTATTGACCAAAATTCAAATATGGATAACAGCATGAAGTATAATATCAGAGCTTTGGCTAACGACTGATGTAAAAAGAAAGTAATGTTTTAAAACTTTTGCAATAGATAATTAGACAATAGTTAAGCTGCGCTGAAACGGCCAAATTTCACTTAAAGTTCCTCAGTTGTGCAAAAAAGTTTTTACGCTTGCTTGAGGTGGGTTCTGCCTTTGTCAAAAAAGAGTTGATGCAGCAAGTGAGATATGGAAACGCCCTTGCTGAATAAAGTCTGACAAAGTGAACACTGAACTCACGTGACTGATGAGCAGGTTCTGCTGTTGTTGTGCATTAGAATCATTACATTAACTGCTTCTATACAGACTGCATAATAAACATGGCCAATACTAGCTGACATTAAAAAAAAAAAAAAATCAAAACTTGCCAAATTGAAACAAAAGTCTATCCATTTTTCTCTCACAGATTGGTTTGCGATATGTTCTGTTTCCAGTTTGCAGCCTCTGCTTCTTCCTCTATGTTTACTGACATATCACAGCCATGTGTAAAGTGTAGACAATACTACCAACTTTTGATGAAACAATGCTTTGCATAGCCTAGTGTATTTACTCCACTTGATGTAAATATGCTAAATTCGCATATCTTTTTTGCCACATTCCAAAAGTTTGCTTAAAATTCACTTGACAATGGAAACAGGACAAAAGACAATTGTAGGACACATGTAGTTAGTTAGGAAAATGTAAGATACTAATTGAACTGACTGAAATAACTGACATTGACATTGACATTTGTCTTAGCATTAAACACTTAAATAAAAGATAGCAGCTATATCATTTAAAGTAGGGTCAGAGTAGTTACAGGAAGAAAGGGGGATTTTTAAAATGGTAAATGCATTAAGGCTTTATTTTTCCTGAGATTAGAGGGTGTGGAAGTGGCTAAAAAAGAACAACAGCAAAAGAAAGAGTAGTTACTCAGCCCAAATGCCCAGACACTACACACTGCCTGCTCACAGTGAACAGATGATGGAGAAGTGAGGCAGTAGCCTTTTTTAAACAGGAATTGTGCAAATTTGCAGGAAAGCCCAATCAGTCTTTTTTCAGCATTGGCAGTATAAAGCAAAACCGGGGAGTGCAGCAAAATGCCACCTACCTATTTTTGTTTACAGAATGTGCCTTTTTCGGGGCAATGGGTGTATCGTCAGCAAATAGAAAAACATATACAGTAGCTCAGCGTGTGACGTAAACAGTGACATGGGAGGGAAGCCGCGGCTGGTCAGTCCTTCTGCGATTCTCTCATAAGTCAGCCCACCCTTCACCGTCACTTGACAATTAATGGCCTCTTCGTTTGTGAGTGCAAGGGAAGCACGCAATTACTTGTCTTCCCAGTTGTTCATCTTTACAGTGTCTGTCAGGTTTGCGTTTCCCTCTTGCTGATAGCTGCTCGCTAATTCCTGCTATCAGCTGTTTCCTGTTTATCCACCGTAGAACGGCCCAAAATTCGCCGAAAATCTGGCAGTGTAAAAGGGGCAGTAGGTCAAAGCAAGGAATCAAGACAAATTGAACTAGAGTTGGCAGCTCAAACCAGAACTAAAACAGCTATGGATCCTGGATTTGCATTTGTAGCCTACCATACACTGTATTGACGGGACGTAGCTACCATGACGTCACCCATTGGTTTCTGGACTCCTGCTTCTGTCTTTTTTAGCTCTGAATGCTGCCACTTGGTTTAATGGTACTAAAAAAAGTGCTTTAGTTTGAGTTCAAACCTCTTTGTATTCTACGCTATTTTTGCCCATTGAGATTCTTGGAAATTAACCAAAAACAACAACTCCGCGCCCCCCCACACCCCAGGGTTTGAACCAGGAACCCTCTGGCTGTGAGGCGACAGTGATAACCACTGTACTACCATGCCACTCAATTAGTAATTAATTAATCATTTTTCAAATTAACAAATTATCCAAATGAAAATCATTTAATCCAACATGACAGAATATAAACCAGCATGCAACTTTGGGAAAAATACTGTGCATTAATCCTATAAGCAAACTCCCACTTTCTGTTTATGTGCATGTTGAACATGTTCTCTTTTACTTGCGTTACCTCAGAGTATACCAATCTAGGCCATGGTGTAATGCCCTATATAGAACATGCTTAGAGTGATATGAACATTTGAGAAGCATATTACAGACATGAGAACTGATATTTTATGACCCTTGTCACTTTTTTTGGTGCCCATATTTCAATGATGGATGTGACGTGAGTCATATTATTTACAGTATTGTGTTGTTGGGGTGGCGTCTTTGTGTCTATTTGACACATTCTCCGTTAAGATTTGTTGCTATCACACACATCTCTGTGGAAAGGGCAGATTTCCTTTGGATTTTGTCATTTATTATTTTTATTTTTTTTTATTTAAATGTCTAACACTTCTGCTTTTGTTTTCAACAGCCTGTGAACAATGCTGATTTTATCATTCCAGTGGAAATTGATGGAACAGTTCATCAGGTAGGCACTTGATATGCTAAAGTGACCATTTGCTACACTGTCATCTTGCTGTATGTTGCTTCAATCACATCACTACATTGTTAACACAGAAAGCAGCCATCATGGAAGTTTACAACAAGCTTCATAGGCTTCCTGCTTAAAGCCCCAAAGATTTGTGTAAAAATATGTGCAAGCAGGATTGACACAGAGCACCATTTAATGTGCACTGAGCGTCATTGTACTACATTTACCACACACCAGTAACCAAAATCTGTGCTGTTCACCATCTGACCTGAACAGTAGGATACTTTATAAACTCTCCAATACAAAAGTACAAGAGTAAATTTAAAAATCCTCCATGGTTTATTTTGCACTGGAGACCCTGTGCTAGCTCCCTGACAGTGCTGTAGCCCGCTCTGTTGATGGCTCAAAGCAGCAGGTGGCTATTTACGTGGCCTGACGAAATGAGGAAACCCTGGCAGGCTTCTCAGAAATCAGAGGCCATCAATCTCACTCTGTGGTGCATATTATGCCCCGCTCATTGGTGGGGGGGAATGGCAGTGACTATTCCCTGCAGGCGTTCAGTGGTAACCACAGTCTGTTGTGCTGGGCCTCCCAGAAGACATAGGAGCTTTGTTGTCCAAAGGGCCTGGGTCTGTTTCAAGTAATCCAGGATAGGCTTGTTAAAGTGGGGAGAGCCTATTCGGGATGACTTGGTTCAGAAACAAGGCCGCCTGCATCTTAGTGGAGGTAGATATTATGTACTATTGGAATGTTTACATGAAATGTTCTTAGAGTAAATATTACAGCTTTATGCTTTCTTGATGTCGTCATAGCAATATAGAATTATCAAAGTAACAACATCTCAATAATGACAGAACTGTCAAATTTGGAGACTTTTTTTTTCCATATATACCTGTATGAAACAGAGAGAGATTATATATAATTTAAAAATGAAAACAGAAAGTGGAAACTTTTCAATCCCCCTCCCCTTGCTTTTTTAAGTGGTACAATTGTTGGCACCGCTGTCACAAAGACAACTGGATCACTTTCTGTTTTCCTCAGAGTCTAGCAACAGGGCTCTTTTTCTTTTGTTGGGTAGAGTTTTCACAGTTACTTGGGTTGTTCCACTGTCCGCCTCTTCTGCTACTGGGGATAGTCACTCCAAAGAGCTTGCATTGATACTCTTTGGTAACTGGGGATAGCTACTGGGGAAAACAGAAGTCCTTTCATCTTCCTGCAATGTTTGCGCAATGGTTGACGCACTTCCTTTGTGCCATAACTTGAGCCTTCATTTTCTGGGTGATCGCATCGAGGGCAGCAAGAATTCCACAGTGACAGTAAGGCTTATGGGCAACCAGTCCAAACACCGATGGTGTCATTATTCTAAAGGAATTGTGCAATCAACATTGACTGTTAATGTAATGTTAAGTTAAACCTATAACCTTTCCACAAAATGGCCCAAAATGGTCTCTTATATCTTAATGAACTACTATGTGCCAGCATGGGCCCATTTATACTCCGTTTACGTACAAAAGTAGATATGTCTGTTCAAACATTATAAACGTCATTGCCGTCATACTTTCATGTGTCCCGTATGATGGCATAGATACAACCAGTAGATGGCACTAGAGGGCAGAGTCAACAACAAACGAGGAGATGGTGTAGGAGGTCGTAATAAGTGAAGCATGTGGTTCAACAACAACTGTGGATTTCATACTCTTCTGCCTTTTGTGTCTCCACCCAGGTGTATGTGTTAAAGAGACCGCACGTTGATGAATTCCTCAAGAGGATGGGAGAAATGTTCGAGTGTGTTTTGTTCACTGCAAGCTTATCCAAGGTCAGACTGCTGTTCTTATGCTGAGTAACTCATAGTTAGTATTTGACTCATTATATTCAGGCCAGCATTAGGACACAATCAAACTTGATGTGGAAAGCGACACCTGTTGTAGAATTACTGGAAGCCCAGCCTCAATTTTATGTTTGATTTGTAGGTGACCTTCCACATATACACCCCTCACACATAAAGATAAATTTATGATACCTGTCAGGAGACCACACATTTTAACCTCTCACATTTGCTTCAAACTGCGTTGACCTTAACTAAACTTCATGAAGCATTTGGTCGGCCATGACTCGGCAAATCGGTCATGCGATCACGCTCTAGTACTTTTTACGTTTTAGTTGCCATGTTTGGCCACAACATTTACAGGCAGTATCATAGGTATATTTTGTGTACATCGTCTGAAATCAAATGCTTTGATCAAATGAGTTTTGAAAATGTCCAATCTTACATGTCGCAGATATCACTTCTCTATGGCTGACACGTACAGTATGTTCGATGCAGGTTTGTTGAAGGAATTTGTAGGCCATCATGTTGAAGTTTAACAGGCCTACTAGTAGGTACACTATAAATGAGGAAGATACATAGACAAATTAACAAATTGCTATCTCAGATCCAGTGTTGGGCAATTATTGCCAAACCCCAGCTCTAAATTTAAAGCTCCTGAATTCAGAAACTTTTTATAAAGAAAGAGGGATAGGTGATACATCGAATATACTCAATGTGTTGTGGCTTGTTCCACGTAGGATATATAAAATGACTATATAACGATCATTGAGTATAAATGATCACATAGTTTTTTTTAAGCCACCAGCTTTCTCCTGTGTCTCTCTTTCGCTTCCACACACACACACACACACACACACACACCATACCTGTCAAGTTTTGGATTTGAAAATCAGGGAAATTTTTCGGCGCCCGCCGCAAGTGGTAAGTGATTAACATGGGGGGGGATCAAAATAAAATAAAAATCAACCAGCCACCCTCCTCCCCTGACAGTCCCTCCATAAGTAAAGAACATTCCCTAAAGTGCGGTGAGGTTTGTGGGCCGTTACCTGCCACAAAGAGAGAAATGTGAACAGCTCATTTCCCCTCTGACACGCCACATACCTGTGTGCTGCCACAGCTCGGTTGTCCAGGTACTACTGGGCAGTCATGACACCAACGAAAGAGGAAATTACTGGACCTGGAGTCGGACTTCTCTGTCGCCGGTAAGCCGTTATCTTGCGCCGCAGAGCACTATGAGCCTCCGCCGTATTCCTGTCTGTGACCCCCGTTCAACCCACAACCGCCAGGATTCGCCTTTCCTTTCTGCTGCTGGTTTAAACGTGATAATAGGAGCGCCCCATTGCCCACTCCACTAACTTGACGTGGAAATGAGCGGTAGTCTAGAAAACTGGTGAGTTTTGTTTTTTTTGTTTTTTGTTTTTTTTGGAGGGCGCTCGTGCGCCCTCATATAGATTGTGCCCTGGGCGGTCGCCCACATTGCCCATAGCAAAACCCGTCCCTGGGTGTACAGGAAATCTAAAATAACCACTTGTCAACCAGACCTGCTGTCGACACTAACCGTGCGACAACTGCCACCCAGGCTACTGCAGGTGGCAGTTCTCACGAGGCTAGTGACAGAGTTCAGTTTGGAGAGGCAGAGGAATGTTTGTTTGTTTTTTTAAATTATATTATAATACGGGAGATTTACGGGAAAATACTAATACGGGAGGACGGTGGGAAAGAGGGGTAAAATACGGTAGTTTCCCGGCCAAAACGGGAGACTTGACAGCTATGACACACACACACACACACACACACACACACACACACACAAGAAGAAAGATTCACAAACATGATATGTCACATACTCCTCCGCCCGTTTTGATCACTTTCTCCCAAATCATCACATTCAACGACACAAACACTTGAACTTAATAAGATTGGCAATAGCATGAGCAGAGGAAGCCTGTGTCTTTGTACCTGTAGGGCACCACACTGCAACTCTTTAGTCACATTTTGTGACCATGGAGCACCAGTGCAACTTCCAAATACAACTAATATATGAAGTAGTGAGCTTTTAGTGTGTTTCCAGCTCTGGCAACAGTTCAACTTTATGCTGACTGCTGACATCTGACTGTTGACTGTAAGCTTCAAGTCCACAACAAAAGCATCAATACTTCTGACCCACAGTGGTTCACTTTGATTTATTTAATTATAACAATATTTGATTCAGTTTTTTTTTTATAACAGTACTTTATTCAACTTTATTATAGCAGTATCTTATTAAACTTCATTATAACAGTACTTTAACTTTATTATATTAGCCACTTTATTTAACTTTATTCTAACTGTAGTTCATTTAACAATATAACAGTAAAAAAAACTATAAAAAACCACTGCACAGTAGCAAACAACAGACAACAACTAACTAGTGAACATGGTGAAGCTTTAAGCAGCAAAAGAGACAAGTATTTCCCTCAGGAGTTGGTGGAGACCAAAAACAGAGATAAAAGAGAGTAAATATTGAAGTTACATTAACCATAATTTCTTTTGTGATTTTAGTACGCAGATCCGGTGTCGGACCTGTTGGACAAATGGGGGGCCTTCCGGAGCCGTCTCTTCCGGGAGTCATGTGTTTTCCACAAAGGGAATTACGTAAAAGACCTGAGCCGTTTAGGAAGAGATCTCAACAAGGTTATCATCATCGATAACTCCCCAGCGTCCTATATCTTCCATCCCGACAATGCAGTAAGCCATCTATTTTTCCGTCTCTGCAATACACTAAAATACATTTGTATTGTTAACTAACATCTTGTCGGTAAAGATTCTCAGTCATCCAGGTCATGGTAATCGTAAGTGCTATATCTTGGGCAACTGGACGCAAGCAAGCAAGCAAGTCCAGTTGCCCAAGATATAGCACTTACGTTCACTAACATCTTGTTTTAGAACAATATTAATACAATAATTATATAATATTAAGTATTATGGAATATTGAAATGATCTTCTAATTCCACCATATTTTGCTTCTTCAAACCTCCAGGTTCCTGTAGCGTCCTGGTTTGATGACATGTCAGACACTGAGCTCCTTGATCTTATCCCCTTCTTTGAGAGACTAAGCAAAGTGGACGACATCTATGATGTTCTCCAGCAGCAGAGGACTTCAAGTTAACAGAGGCAGGATACTAGGATGAAAATAATCACCAGCAGCTGTCGTCACGGGGCCACGGAGGCCGGTGGGCCACAGGCCCCACGCTGCTTCCAACTACAAGGACCACAGTGCAAAAAAATGCCTCTCATTAAATCTCATATTCACACAGTGTATTGCATTAAAACGTGAAAGCAGTGTTCCACCAGGGTTTGGTCCCAGGGACAGATCAGAGACAGATAATTTTTTCTCCTTTTTTTAATACTATATAAAGACTGAATATGAGATTCAGTGACATCTGTAGATATCGTTTGCAGTGCAGCTAGTGTGTTGTTGTTGTCATCGTTATGTGACAGCAGTGACCTAGTATGTAAGTGTGCTGTAAATCTAGATTGTGTGAACAGTTGTCCAGTGCCATTCTACAAATGAGCCACATCGGTCATTTTCATTTCAGTACAAGACCGTTCCTCGAACCCCAGTAACCTTCTTTTTTCTTGCCTAAAATGGCCTAATGTGTATGTAGTAATTATGGAAGCCTATTTCCTTCAATGTGATGAAAAAAAAGATCCTGTAAGTCATTATGAGAAACTTTTTTTAAATAATGACATGGTAGCTCAACATAAGGACCTAGTATCACAAAATAATGACTTCGTATCTCAGAATAATGACTTATCGCAAAATGAGAAACTTTTTTCAAAATAATGTTTTGCTTTTTTCAAAATAGTGACTTAGTATCTCAAAATTATGAGTCAGTATTTTTAGATACTGAGTCATTATTTTGAGAGTTTCATTATTTTGAGCTACCAAGTCACTCTTTCGAGATAAGTAAGTTGTTATTATTATGCCTTTGTGGGAGCAACAGCCATGGCCGTTGTCCATCCGTCCGTCATGAACGTGATTTCTCAAGAAGGCCTTGAGGAAGTTTCTTCTAATTTGGCACAAACATCCACGTGAACTCAATGATGAACTGATTAGATTTCGGTGGTTAAAGGTCACTGTGACCTCACATAACATGTTTTTGGCCATAACTCAATGCTATTATCTATATTAATAAGAATCCATGTACTTATTATGACAAGATTTCACACAGATGTCTAACAGGATAACATGATGAAGTAAAGACATTATTTATCCAAAATGTCAACTTCACTGTGACATCACAGTGATCCGCAGTAACACTTTCTGGCCATTGCTCAACTCCACAACTCAGGAACAGAAGAGGACACATTTGGTCAGATACTGAATTGGTGACACTAATCTTGTGTACCTACCTTGAAACTTTGGTGATTGTATAGATCAATGCTGCCAAAAGATGTGTGTGTGAAGCATCCATGGTTTCAATGAACCATTGCCAACTGTCATGGCTGAATGTGAGTCTGGACAGACATGCATGTAAACCATAACTGCAACTTGACTGGTTCATGATGGATACAATGTGAGGTAGTAATTACAGTTTTGAGAAATTTTCCCATTATTTAGCAATAAGTCATTACTTTGGTATACTAGGTCATAATTGTGAGAAGATTCTTATAATGACCCTTTTTCCCATCACATTGGTGGAAATGGGCCTCCGTAATCAAAAGACAATCATTAACTTTAGAGAATTTAATTTTAATAATTTCTATAACATTTCACTACAAAACACACAGTATTGATGTGCTCCAAATACTGTACACTCACTGTATGTTTTTGGAAAGCTTTGAAGAAGCACAGTTTGTTTGAGGAATTTGGCAGAACAGTAATCATGGGAAACAATATCTTGAAGTCCCCTGCCATTGATTTTGGTCCTTATTCACTACATTACAGATGACTGATAATGTGAAATCACTAAATTCTAATATTATTGAAATCTAATTTTTAATGTGTAATAACCCTTTGTAGTCATTTTCTTATGCCTAGTTCAGTCAGAAAACACCCTAATCCTGTTGTTCATTGGTGTACCTCATACTTGCATACCAACAAATCTAATTATGAGACACATAAAATCTGGATCTTTTGGACAGTTCTAGATTAGCATTAAGGAAACAGACTGACTGTACAGTGATCAGACTTTCCACACACACAGACTTACTACAGAAATGGTGAGATTATTTTTGTATATACAGTATAACAGGATTTTAGGCAATCGTTTTGATTTGGTTTTAACGTTATTTTACCTAATGTTATTTTATCTTTGGAGTTTTTAGTTGAGTTGGCCACTACAGTGTGCAGCCCATCAATGATGCAATACTGATCATATGTGCAGGAGGAGGCTGTTAATGGCGACTTAAATAAGTTTGATGTTTGATTTGAAAGCACACTTTGATCTGTAAACTTGAACCCAAACTTTTTATGTAAGACGTGGAGTGAGATGTTCTTCCGTATGGAGCTGTATATACAGTTTAATTGGGGAAACTTGTGCCAGACATGTTCGAGCCCCGATTACTTTAACTCTGAAGCGAGTGTGTATATTTGTATGTGTGCGTGTGAGTTTAAGTGTGATTGCGTCGGTGTGAGTATTTTCTTTGGTTTGAGATTTTTAAAAAAGAGGATACTCTGACAATATGTGAAAAATCATAACCTATCTTTAAATAACAACTTAACTTTTTTTTTTTTACTGTATGCAACAAGTAAAGTGACACAAGTAAAGAAACTGGTTCAAACATGTTGAGTTCTTATACTGCTGCTGACAATTGCTAAGATTGGAAGAAAAAAAATAGACAAATAGAGATATTTTTACCTTGCATCAATAAAGCATGTTTTATTGAAACAGGTCATATTCACAACAGTACTTTTTTGTCACATACCTAACGCTCAACACAACATGGCAGAGGTGGAAACAAGTCAAATGGAAAAATGGAATATGGAACAGATTTCATATGAAAACGACTATCATTCTCTGTTAAGTTCAAACACGACACCCACTCAACAATAAAACTAGCATGCCCTGATTATCAATCAAGGTGATCAAGTAATTTCTCAACCTATTTCTTTCCGTAACTACCTGATTTTTGGCCCAATGTATTTACATTACAAGCCCTTTGCTGCAAGACAGAACTCTCTTCATTCAAACTTCATCGAAACATAAAAAACAATTTCTATACAACTGACACATGATGAAAAGAGATGTTAACTGGTGCTCGGATGATCCGTTCTAAAATCTAAATTTGATATGGATACACGGCTGGAAACTATCATTGTGTTTCGTAAGTGCCAATACTGAAAACTAAGACCAAAAATCTGAGTCATTGTCACAACAGCCACACAAACCCATGCTCTGATATATGGGAACATTACACTGAGTGCAAATGAGATTATATTGCTTAATAAATGGCACACTGTAGGCACTTGTACTTTGTAAGTCAACCATGGTTAAAGATACTGTGTGTAACTGGCAAACATCTTAAAATGTCACAAGCACATGCACATTTAGTGTGTGTATGCAGCCCTCACAAGATTCAGATGAATATGACAAAGATGATTATACATTTTAGAGATTCAATTTGCTCTACATCAGAATTTGGCCTCAGAAATGACCCTATTAAACAAAATGTCTTTACACATGTGGGTGGATTTAATTCAAACAATGAAGAACACTTAACTTTCCATTCTTGTATCATTCTAACCATGTAGCTCTTCCCACTCATTTAATCTTTACAAATCAGATATTTATGGGCACAAATACACATTTAGCTTTAGCATCTGTGACATGGTTACAGTCAGACCACTTACACACATTATTTACATCCAAACTACAATTTGTATTATGGTAAAGGAACTCTTTCAAATGTATTCACACACTGACTATGATATTGATATATGAACAGAAATTTTCAAAAATTCTCAAAGGCGAGTTACTGAAAGAAAATCCACTCCCCAAATTTGAACTGAACTGCATGAAAATCCATCACGACCCTGTTTAAACCAATTTTATAGACATACTGTTTTGTAAAATATATAAGCGATGTCAGTGTTACAATTAAAAAGCATCAATACAGTAATCAGTCCATGTCAGTGGGTGATGACAGACAGAAGATGTCACTCACGGATCACCTGTGAAATTTGAGCAGAGGAAAAAAATCAGACGGGAGGACGAGAGGTCGAGTTTGACCTTATTCTGTCAAACTGTAAACCTGCCTCCTGTAACCTGTCATTACACAAGAGCTCATTTTACATATTAAAAAACAGTTGCAAAGTACTTCATATTCAATTAACACTGCACTTTTTTTTTACTCTGTGCTTGTGTTTCTAAAGCTTTTTGGCTTATGACCCCATAAAACAAATCAGTGTCTACTTGAGACCCCTTATTACGAGTTATGGCTATATGGTGCACATGAGTAGTGAGCAGTTAGACCAAAGAGTGATTTTTTTTCCTTCTCAGGTTGTGTCTTTTCCTGGGTTTTTAGAGGCCTACAGAGCTGACATTGTCCAGGAAAAGGGAAAAAATGGAGAAAACTGCAACAGAAATATCTATTTTTCTTTTTTATCCCCTTATAATCATCATCGGACCCCCCAGATATATCTCGAGCCCTACCAGGTTCGGAGCCACTGCTCTAGGCTTAATTAAAAGCTTCCCCAAAATTTTTTTGCTGTTTTTTGCAAACCGCCAACTTGAGGATACTTGCAACCATCTGGAAATGGATTTTTAAGAAAACCAAATACCTAAAATGGAATAAAAAATGATAACCTCCAATGTCCGTACACCATATGGACTCAATGCTTTCTCAGGTAAAAGTAGCAACACCACTGTCTTCAAACAAGTGTGTAATAACAAGAATATCTTAACCTACAATAACACCATCATGGTAATATATTTGAAATGATTTTCTCTATGAATTTCAAACTGTAACTCGTTCAAAGTAAATAAATGTAGGCAAACAAAGTAATATATTTGCCTCTGAAGTGTAGTGAAGAAATTAGAAACACTAAGTTTCTCAGTACAGTCCTTCAGATGATGTAGTTAATTGTTTTCCACTACGTCTTACATCCCCTTCAGAGTATCTGACCTTTTTATTTCTATTAATCTTCTCAGCTGAGCGTGAGTCCTGTTTCTGCTGCGCATCACCTTCAGTTTAAAGCCCGACAAATTCATTTCAGTCTACAATCTGAGCCAGATGATTAAACATAATACTCTTTCCTTTAAAGCCAACATAATAAAACTAAAAATAGTCCACACTGCTACACATTTAAAGAGCTTGAGATGGTTCTGTGGGTATGTGGCCTATATTGCTTGACCTACATGCCTGCAGAATAAGTAGGACCATAAACACCCTATATTATTTACAGAATGTAGCACTCCAGGAGCCAAAACATTAGTTGTATTTATTGCGGCATGTGCAGCGCCAAGGCGTGTAGCACACTTTAACACACCATTTTTACAATTCACAATCAGTCTGATAGATCCATGTTGTTTTCTTTTTCTTTCTTTCTTTTTTGTGGAACTTCTATTATCATTTTTTTTTGTTGAATAGCTAAATGGATAAAAATGATCACTGGTTTAAAACATTTACTTTCATCAATAGAATTGATCCGTTACCTCCACTTTCTGTGATGTTTCTTTAGTCATATGAGCAAACTCAAGCCTTTGTTAGTACCACCATCTAGTGGTTATACTTTGAATTACATCACTGGGTTAAACCAGTGTTTCACTTGCTGGTCAGCTGAATTCAGCTTGAGGCAGTGCTGGAAGCAGCTCTCACTTCTTGTGCTTCAGTTAAAAAAAGGCATACCACAGCGTAGAAATACTGTTACAAGTTATGTGTACTTTTACTGAAACAAAAGTTACTGGTATCAAAATATGCTTAGAGTATAAGAAGTAAAAGTATTCATTTTGCAGTGTGGCCCATTTCAGAATAATATGGATTTTATTATTGGTTACTGTGAGCATAACTTTAATTATGAAGATGGTAAATGTGAATCTAATTTGAATTATTTTGTATACTGTCAGGTAGCATGCGACTTCTCCCATGATCAATAAAGTTTCATTGTATATAGTTTTAATCCCCATCATAATTTATTTGTTGACCAATGGTTGTATTATCAATCTGAACCTGCAAAATAATTGGTAATTTTACTTTCACCTTTTATGTTTAACTTTTTATCTCCTGTATTGTACATTGCTTCATTTCAAGATGCTTCCGTTACAGAGTGAAAACAAAAGTTGCATGAAAAAGTCCTGACGAACTGTGTGAGTGGAACAAGAAAAAAGGAGATGAATCAGCAGCTGCAGCAGAGAACAAACTGCTGTTGTTGTGTCTGCAGCCACAGGAGGGCAGAGCTCCAGACAGGTGTCAGTCTGCACTCAGCAGGTACTCAAGAAGAAATATGTGTTTTAAATGTTTATATATACTGGCCGAGTTTCACGGGGTGAAAGGGGTGTGAGGGTGTGTAACAGAAGTTGCAACAGGGGTGAGTCTAGCACTTAGTGAACAGTAAAACAGTGCAATCAAATTAAGGGACAGACATATCCCTGATATGACTTCAGAGCCCCATTCAGATCAAAATGTATTCAATTTGATGAGCACAGTGGGACGGAGAGAGACGGAAAACCCACACTAACCTGGCCCCTTATGAGAGGCAATCTGCCCTGCCCCACCGACAAACATATACTTTAATCAATGACCCAGACCTGACCAGCAAACCTGTAAACCCGCAAAGAGGAGCTGAAAGTTTCTGGTAGTGACCATCACTAATAACAACATACATGCTGCTGCCTATATTGTATGTCATTTCCAGTAAATATCACAATATAAATGTGTGTTCTGCTTTAAAACGTACAAACATAGGAAGACAGCAAGTACTCCCCCATCTTTTGAGTGGTCATGTCTTAGGGCCCAGACACACTGAACTGACTTCAGAGAACGACGGCCGTCTACTGTGTCACCTGACATTGCTGTGTCTCAGCTTTAAAGTTGCACATGAACACACCGCAAAGACTACAGCCAATGGCCACCCAGCATGTACATTCTGCACCTGCGTGAGAGGAAATAACTCTCCACACCAGCAGATGGCGATAGTCTGTAATCGTCATTCAAAAAGGGAAATCGGAAGACCGTCTTGATGCTACTTAGTCAGTTAGCACATTAACAACATAATCTTATGCTGAAAGAATAGAGCATATTTTCCTGGTCCAGTGAACAATAACACAAACCATCACAAAAGTTTCTGCTACAGGGCTTAATGGCTAAAGAAAAATAATCTGACCTTAGGAAACAATTTTGTCTTGGTCCCACTCCCTCTTGACTTCAGCTGTTTGTTTACATTCCTCACTTACATTTTGCGTCCTGTGCATCCAGCTGAACAGCTAGTCAGAGTAAGTTCATTCACAAATGGGCTCTGCTGTCGCCTATTCAACATGCTGAATTGGCCCCCCCAAAAAAAGCCAACGGGGACCAATGAGGACCAATGGTGTAGGGCGCACCGCCCCGACTAGGGTGACAGATGCTCACCGACAGCAAACACTGACCAACAGCCCCGACTGTCAGCTTGGTGTGTCAGGGCCTTTGAGTATGAGCTTGAGCACACAGCTGATTGATGTTACAGAAGTGCATATTTAATGGATTTAGTGTGGACAGAGACATGCTTGCTTGATATTAGGACATGGTGTTCTGCCTACATATTCGCAGAGGGAAATATTTTTTACATTTTTTACATATTTTTACATTGTGACCCTATAGATTTAAATATGTCACATTTCGACAGATTTTCCTGGTCAAAAGCTGAATAATATAAATCTGAGCACAGTAGCTGATTATGAAGCTACTTGCTGTGTGAGAGCGACAGAGACAGAGACAGAGACAGAGACAGAGGGAGGACAAGAGGAGATGAAAATTGGATTATTGCACAATGTTTCTGTAAGTTCGACCCACCTGCCTGAAACACACGATATCTTCCAACAAGCTTACTCAAACCTCCCAAATGGCATGACCTGCTGGCTGTGGGTCGACCCACGCATCACTAGTGTACTGGTTGTATTATGGATTTCAAATGAACTAGTCAAGAAGTTTGACCTAGAGCAGACTGAGGCGGACTTTGCAGTACATAAGACTCACAGAATGATGTTAAGAATGAATGAAGTGAGTACAACTAACTCTATGAAGTCACTGTACAGATGAGAACTTAAATGACCACTGCGTTGCCTTGCAATGTATAGCATTAGGTGTGTGTGTGTGCACGCGCGCTAGGCTTAGCAGATTTTTTCTTTGCTTTAATATGTAGTATGTTTGTGGCTGCAGCTGCTTAGAAGTCTATATTGTTTAGAGAGATCCATGTTGTCTGTCTTGATGATTTTTTACTGTGCTGTGATTCTATAAAAAGTGTTGGGCTGCAGTAATTAAGTATTGTCGTTTAACTGCTTTGTGTGCTGCCACGGTGTTTTTATTATCAGCCAGTTTTGTTTAATTGTCTGAGTTTTGTCTCTTTTCCGGTGGTTGTATATTTATAATTAATAACTGCATGCACAGGCAATCCAAATACAGTTAAAATACAAATATGTTGAAAAATGAATGTCAAGTACACTGCTACTTCTTTTACTCACTTAGAACCTGGAGCTGGGCACTGCTCTTTGCTTTCCCGAAGGTGAACTCCACCACTCCATTCATGTCCGGGGAGGTTTGTCTGAGGGTCAGCCTGTGGACCGTGCCCATCTTCTCCATGAGTACCTGAGAGCTCGGCTGCAAAGGCTCTCCATTCAGACTCCACACAGGAGCTTTGGGGACAGGGACTGCAACCTCACACTCAAAGCAAGCTTCATCAGGGGCCATGACCTCCACATCCTTTAGCTCTCTGACCATTAACTGTGACTGGGCTGAGTCAGTGCAAAAAGAGAGGGAAAGCTGTTAGGTAACAACACACATGTATTATAATAGATACATATCTTAAGCAAGGTTGCCTCCTAGTCAATGTTGAGTCTCATGAGTCTTTCAGTCAGCCTTTATCAAATTATTGAAAGCTTTTTAATTTCTTGTATGAAGTGGTGAGTGGTGGTAGATCTTTCCTAGGTAACCCCTTGAACCCCTTGAATTCGTCTTTTACTCCCTTTATTTCTGGGCTTTTGGTGCAGTCACTACATGTCTTACCCTGGCATATACAGTTGATAGGTCTTTTACACCACAGACATTTGGATACATTTTAATAACATTTCTAATTATTCTACTGAGACACACCAAAAAAGGGCTGACCTTATTTATAGGGTCAGGTTTGGTTGCTCGGATATGTCATCATTTGGCGTGTTAAGTGCTATGCTTGTGGGACACTTAAGAAAATCTATCTATCTATAACAGTTTCAGTCTCCAAAGGGTTGAAATAGGCCTGCAATTAAATATAAATACAGTATAGTGGTAGTTGATGAGGTGTGTGTACTGCTAGGTGGAGTGGTAAGTAACTGAGGAGGAAGTGGAGATCTCCTATATATTCCAATGGCTTTTTGGCTGATAGGTGGGTATACTGTAAACAGTGAGAAAAAAGAGGTGAGTATATCCTGTATACCCATGTATACCCTCCACTAGAAGCCACCTTTCAAACCTTCAACCCAACAAGTGTTCTTTAATTAGAACAACAAAATATAACTTAAAAAAAATTTAAGGATAGCTGGTGGCTTTGAATTTGAACGAGGCAAGAGTGAAAGTAAAATGGGCATGTGAAAATAAGGGGAACATTCTATGTTATCACATTACAATAGAAGAAAATACATGTATTAGCTTTGCCTGGCCAGTAGGGGGAGCTATGAGATTTTGTATGAGATCCTCAGCTCCCTCTGTTGCACCACAATAGAGAGGAAGCATTGCTGTTGAGCTATGACAGCTGAGGTCCTGGCATTTGTCACTACTGCCTGTACTTGGTGTAGAATAATCGATACTACACACACACCAACAACAACAAGAGCAGTAGTTCAGTATACTTGTTCAATCCCACTAAGCAGTAGCGCTTTGTAAAGCTTAATTTTTGTTTGTTTGTTTTTGTTATTTGAGTATTTAAAGTCAGGGCCTATGTCCACATAGTAGGTTTTTTGGTTCAGTTGTTCCCAATAAGGAAAGCGTGCATACGGCAGCAATTAGCCACCCCGAGAAAAAGCGCTTCACGCAGCATCTTTTTTCAGAGCGCCACGTCTTTTTTGTGCGGCTGCTTTTGAGTGCTTTTGAGAAGGGCACCAGTGATGTTACTGTTGCTTCTGTCTGCTGTCACAACAAAGACAGAAAAGCTCATGTTTTGGGAGCAGATGGTCGGAGGACACTGGATGTTGCTGGTGAGTGTTGGGCTTTTATAAGCAGTTGCTTTGTGTAGTAGCTAGCTAATGTTAGTCTCAAGGTATTGTTGAAACATATCCATGTGGAGCTCATCATTTAAAAGAGAAAGCATTGGGAGATTAAGCGCTCCTCAGCGCCCTGCCACCGCTTTCCTGCTTCAGAAAAATGCTATGTGGACGCATACCCTTAAATTAATTGTTTTTCTGCACTGGGTTAGATCCTATAACACTGACTATATTGTACAATAATAGTGCAAAAAAAAAGTTTGGCAGTAAATTATGCAATACTTGACATGGATCATGAACTCTCTTACCCACTACAGTCAGTTTTGCAGAGCATGTATACTCTCCAACCTGCACACTGTACATGCCCTCATCATCTAGCACCACCTGCTGGATGATCAGTTTGCGATAACAGCCTTCACTGCAGATCTCAAAGCGCTCAGAGGGCAGGATGACATTGGCGCCTTTGTACCAGCGGATACTACATCTGGGATTAGACACAGTGCAGTCCAGGAGCACACGGCTCTTCTCAAGGGCGGTCGTATCCTGCAGAGGTTTCACAATGTTGACAGGAAGCTCTAAAAAGGACAAAGGGCAAATTAAGCAAATTAAATTAATCAGAATAGACCATTGATAAAAGACCTAATATATGTCCAACAAGATAAGCTCGACAAATCAAGAAATAAATTTACCCTGTTTGACCTCACTGTAATATGGACATAAAAATTAAAATAGTTTTAAGTGCTTGAAGTTTGAAAACCACAGACAATGTGTTTGGTGTAAATCTAATATTAAAAATGTTAAAGCAACAAGCGAACTCATAGCTCACATACATCACTGAATTGGCTCTACAAACATTCATGCTCTCTGAGCAAACCCTAATACACTGCTAAATATTAATGAACAGTAACTGTCTATAACGTTAATTTTCAGAAATGTATCCATATTTGATTCTAAACACCTAGTATTTTTCATTATACCTTCCACCTCCAGGTAAGCGATACATTCAACATGTCTGGTGATAAACTTGATCTCTCCAGAGTCCTCTGCTCGTACATTGCACATAAGAAGAAAATGTTTGGTCCCTAAAACAAGGATACAATAGACAAAGTCAATAATAAGCCAGATAACACTGTTTATAAGCTTCACATCATCAGCAGAGCTGAGCAGGAACTATGAAATGCGTGTTTGAAATTTTGAGGCTGACCTTCCTGCCGGATCTTGATGGTGCTGGTGGGTTGTATCCTCTCCCCATTTTTGTACCATTCTCCTGGCACATCCGGCACTGAGACCTCACACACAAACACTGCGTTCTGATCCTCCTGGATGTCCAGGTCCTCCAGGCCCTGCAGGATCTGCAGCTCACGCTCTGCAAAGAGGATATTTAGGATTAAAATGGGCACCTGGCTCTTAAAGGGATAGTGCACCCAAAAATGTAAATTCAGCCATTATCTACTCACCCATATGCTGAGGGAGGACCAGGTGAAGTTTTAGAGTTCTCACAACACTTGCAGAGATCCAAGGGGAGAGGGGGTAGGGTTAACACAACTCCACCTAATGGAGGCTTACGGTGCCCCAGATTAAAACGTCCAAGGACACATAATTGAAACCACAAAATATCTCCATACTGCTTGTCCATAGTGATCCAAAACAGAGTTCAAATGACATTTTTCTAAACAACTTTTTATGTCGGGACTTCAGGACACTTGGATCACTACGGACGAGCAGTATGGAGATATTTTGTGGTTTCAATTATGTGTTTTTCAACGTTTGAATCTGGGGCGCCATAAGCCTCCATTAGGTGGAGTTGTGTTGCTACCCACTCTCCCCTGGGATCTCCGCAAGTGATGTGAGGATTCTAAAACTTCAACTGAGCCTCCATCAGCATATGGGTGAGTAGATAATGGCTGAATTTTCATTTTTGGGTGCACTATCCCTTTAACAATATCAACAGTAATAAATATATATATATATATATATGTATATATATATACAGTACAGGCCAAAACTTTGGACACACCTTCTCATTCAATGCGTTTTCTTTATTTTCATGACTATTTACATTGTAGATTCTCACTGAAGGCATTAAAACTATGAATGAACACATGTGGAGTTATGTACTTAACAAAAAAAGGTGAAATAACTGAAAACATGTTTTATATTTTAGTTTCTTCAAAATAGCCACCCTTTGCTCTGATTACTGCTTTGCACACTCTTGGCATTCTCTCCATGAGCTTCAAGAGGTAGTCACCTGAAATGGTTTTCCAACAGTCTTGAAGGAGTTCCCAGAGGTGTTTAGCACTTGTTGGCCCCTTTGCCTTCACTCTGCGGTCCAGCTCACCCCAAACCATCGGATTGGGTTCAGGTCCGGTGACTGTGGAGGCCAGGTCATCTGCCTCGGCACTCCATCACTCTCCTTCTTGGTCAAATAGCCCTTACACAGCCTGGAGGTGTGTTTGGGGTCATTGTCCTGTTGAAAAATAAATGATCGTCCAACTAAACGCAAACCGGATGGGATGGCATGTCGCTGCAGGATGCTGTGGTAGCCATGCTGGTTCAGTGTTCCTTCAATTTTGAATAAATCCCCAACAGTGTCACCAGCAAAACACCCCCACACCATCACACCTCCTCCTCCATGCTTCACAATGGGAACCAGGCATGTGGAATCCATCCTTTCACCTTTTCTGCGTCTCACAAAGACACGGCGGTTGGAACCAAAGATCTCAAATTTGGACTCATCAGACCAAAGCACAGATTTCCACTGGTCTAATGTCCATTCCTTGTGTTTCTTGGCCCAAACAAATCTCTTCTGCTTGTTGCCTCTCCTTAGCAGTGGTTTCCTAGCAGCTATTTGACCATGAAGGCCTGATTGGCGCAGTCTCCTCTTAACAGTTGTTCTAGAGATGGGTCTGCTGCTAGAACTCTGTGTGGCATTCATCTGGTCTCTGATCTGAGCTGCTGTTAACTTGCGATTTCTGAGGCTGGTGACTCGGATGAACTTATCCTCAGAAGCAGAGGTGACTCTTGGTCTTGCTTTCCTGGGTCGGTCCTCATGTGTGCCAGTTTCGTTGTAGCGCTTGATGGTTTTTGCGACTCCACTTGGGGACACATTTAAAGTTTTTGCAATTTTCCGGACTGACTGACCTTCATTTCTTAAAGTAATGATGGCCACTGGTTTTTCTTTAGTTAGCTGATTGGTTCTTGCCATAATATGAATTTTAACAGTTGTCCAATAGGGCTGTCGGCTGTGTATTAACCTGACTTCTGCACAACACAACTGATGGTCCCAACCCCATTGATAAAGCAAGAAATTCCACTAATTAACCCTGATAAGGCACACCTGTGAAGTGGAAACCATTTCAGGTGACTACCTCTTGAAGCTCATGGAGAGAATGCCAAGAGTGTGCAAAGCAGTAATCAGAGCAAAGGGTGGCTATTTTGAAGAAACTAGAATACAAAACATGTTTTCAGTTATTTCACCTTTTTTTGTTAAGTACATAACTCCACATGTGTTCATTCATAGTTTTGATGCCTTCAGTGAGAATCTACAATGTAAATAGTCATGAAAATAAAGAAAACGCATTGAATGAGAAGGTGTGTCCAAACTTTTGGCCTGTACTGTATATATATATGAGATTATATATATGATTCCCTTTTCACTTCCTAAAATACTGTAAATGTATAGAACTGCACTACAGCCTACAACTGTTCATTGAGAGCTGTTATTACACATACATTTTTGTGTTATACAGTAAATATCAGGCTGTGATGCAGGCCCTGGTTCAACAGGCATAACCTCTGAGTTATTATCGCTAACTGATAGTATCAGTTATAATGTCGACGAGGGTATGAAGAAACGTATCATGTTATTTGTCAGTAAAGGACCTACCCATAGATAATCAAATGTATTAAAGTTCTTTAAGTGCCCTGTAGCTGAGTTAGCCACAGTTCTTTACAAATTACTGATGCAAAGAGGTGTAAAAAAAAAAAAAAAAAAAAAAAAAAAGGAACATACAGCTTGTGTAGCTCACTCAGCTAATACCTCTGTGGCCTCTAGTTTCACATACTTATTGGATAGAAATTGTTAGTAAAGTTACCCAGTGTTTAGAGGGGAACTACACCCATTTTCAAATTTCCTACATGTTAATCCTATGGTCTAAGATGGTCCAAAAATATTGGTAAAAATGAACAACTCTCTCCCATATCCAACAACTAGAAAGCTAAAACTCAAACCAGTGATATCATAGGGTATAAAGTCTGGAGCTGCCCCACAGACCATGGATTTGGAAAGATGTTTTAGACAACACTGTTGTCTGCAGGAAAATGTTTGGAGTATATGGGTACATTTTCTGTGTCACAACTGAGAACACAAGTGCTCCAGGGATGACATTTTTCTGTAGGCTGATGCGGAGGTTAGCGTCACCTTGTTCCCTTGTAAAAAAGCCAATGGGATTTTTCCATTGGATCTTACTATATAATGACAAAACTCTGTCTGTAGGTGTTTCTGTCTGTGTGTGTGTCTGTTCCATTTTTTTCTCCTCACTGACTTGGTCAATCCATGTGAAATTTGGCACAGTATGTTGTAGAGACATGAAACTTTAGACAGAGATGCCTCTCCTCATGAGGAACAAATTTGCCTCAAGAACCCATAACTTCGGGTTATATAGATTTTCCGCCATTTTGAATTTCCTGAAAAACACTTCCTAGGAAGTTTGACCGATCTGCATTAAACTCAGTGAACATAATCTAGGGACCAATATCTAAAGTTCCCTCTTGGCAAAAGTTGGAAAACTTACTAAAACTGAGCTTCTATAAGGCAATGAATATTGCGGAGGGCGTGGCTCATCACATAAAGGTGTATAACATCTCAAGGGTTTCACCGATCACCACGCAACTTTGTAGGCATATGACCACACATAATCTGAGGGGAACCCTCCATTATTGACCCGATCAAACAAAATGGGGGCGCTAGAGAGCTAATTTCTTATCTAGGCCTAACCGCCATATCGATTTTTACTAAACTTGGCAGATATGTAGAACAGGACGCCTCAAGGTGACTGGAGAAATTTAACTCTAATTGGCAACTGGGTGGTGCTATAACAACAGAAAAATGCTCCAAAATGGCTAAAATGGGACCGATCGCTGTGGCTCCCCCTGTGGACCAATGTTTGGTTTTTTTTTCTAATTTTTGGTATGACTAAGTCATGATATGGTATGCTGTACATAATCACGGAAACTGTCAGTGTGTCATTCTGTCAGTCAGTCATTCTGTCTGTCCCATGTTTTTCTGCTCACTGACGTGGTCAATCTATGTGAAACTGCACATAGGCATTGAGGATTGGCATAGGTAGAAGGTGACAAAGCTACCAATGGGCATGGACTAGTTTTGAATTACTGAGAGAAATAAACTATGTGGAAAAAAAGTTTATGATACTTGCATGTTTTGTTCAGCAAGATAATCTTCACTTCTTCCACTTTTGTGATTTTTGAAGCCTAAATTCAATCAGCAGAAGTCAAAAGCTAACGGTAGGCTATAAACAAACCTTTCCACGGTCGCATGACTTCACGTCGTCACCACAACAAAGCTGTAAAGCCGTATTTGGCATGATAATGTTCTGTAGTCTCATTTAGCAACTTGTTAGCAACTGCCTTTTTTAAGACATGTAAAAGCTTCAAAATTCACTAGTGGGGTATTTACTGATGTATTTTATGTTGTAGTGGTGTGAATGTGAAAGTCTCCTACGCTTGTGTTAACCACAGACCTTGTTTTAGGTATCGAACCAATGACCTATTCAAAAACACCCACTGACTTGGAGATGAGGGAACCAGGAATGGTAAAATGCTAAGTTACATCTGGGTTTTATTACTCATTCCTGGGACACTACAGAATAAAGCTCATTTGGGTATAAAAAAGGAAATGAACATTCTGTGTGTCCACAGAATCTATGGAGCAGCTCCAGACTTTATACACAATGACATCACAAGTTTAAGATTTACTTCTCTGGTTTGCTTTAAGAGAGAGTAGCTCATGCTCAGAAGTATTGATTGATCTGTCCTCAGCCATGGAAATAATATATTGGAATTTTTAATTTAGTTGGTATTCCCCTTTAATTCCTTTGGTTTGTTGTAGTCTAGACCTCAGTCTGGGTTGTCATTGTTTTGGTACTTTCCCACCCATTGATTGTCAAGTTCTGTGGAATAATATTACACATCTTCAGCCAACTCATACCACTGTATCACATCACCCTGGAACCTGAGGCCTTGTCTGTTTACAGTAAAAGACTTTACCGTAGACCTCCACAGTGCAGGATGTAGTAGCATCTCCAGCATCACAGGTGTACATGCCAGAATCACTGACATGACATTTCATGATCTGGAGAAACCGTTTCCTTCCCATTGCATAAATGCGCAAGTCCTTGCTTGGCTTCACCTCAAACCCATTCTGAAAGGGATCAAAAAATAAAAAACACTGATTCAATTTAAAGTACAAGTAATAATCTCCGAACAGCTGGACCTATATGTGATGCATTCTCTAACAGAGGATGTGAAGTTGAAGTCAAGCTGTGTACATTTTTTTGGACAGGGTGCCATATTGTGAGGATCATGCTGTGTTACTTGTGCCTGCTATGGTGGTCAAGCAACAACATATGAATAAAATAATCATGACAAACAACATAGATCCATATGACTGTAACCCAAGGCTAGATTACAGATCCAGATGCACTTCTTCCATTCACAAACCCAGACATGGTAAACTGTTTTGATTTTAGACTGAGTGAATATACTATGGTAATAAAGTTAACAGCACGTTAAGCTCACAAGGTGGCGCCACCATCCCACACAGTGTCACATACCCTTATATCCTCTATTGAGTGAAATATGTTTGGGGGTTTTCCATATTGATCAACACAAAGTTGATCAAGAGCAGACTTTTTTTTTCTTCAGGCTTGAGCTCAAAAACTGATTTACAATTTTCAAATTGTTGTTTGGTGGTTATCTGAATTGCATCAACAAACATATCAGCTGTTTAGAGAGTGTCTTCCACTTGTGATCTTTAGGGCGTTAGATATGGTCCTGCATACATTTCATAATCTGTTGTTTTCATACTTGTTCATTTTGTAGGTCTTTTTCTAAGGCTGTATCGATTTTGTCACGTGGGCTATATTATAAATTCAGGTGCTTAGCAAGGCCAGTGAGAGAAAAAGACGCACTGTAAAGAGGAAGGTGTGTCTTTCATAAGAAGGAGGGTGTTGTACCTTGTGTTTTGTTCAGCACCTAGCTGATAAGGACACAAGGTTTTGTCAGTAATTAGTTTTATACTGTGATTGATAACGAGTCACTTTCTCATGTATTTTTGTAGTTTTGCTCAGTAGAAGAGTGAGTTTGTGTGTTTAAGCTCGCAAGGGTGCTATGTGGGTTCAATGTACTGTGATTACAGTCATGTAAACAAGCAATTAGCATTCCTTGGCTTTGCTAACCTACAGGTAGAATTGCAGTAACAGTTTACGGGTTAAAGCATGCTTCAGTTGGGATGGTTGGAACTTCATTTTCTGTGTGATTTTCACTGACTATTTTTGTAATGCTTTATGTTGATTGCAGTTGAGAAAAACCCTAAACATGCTTACCTGCAGCACTGTGTCAGAGCTTGTTATTTTGTCAAGTAAAAAATGGTAATATTTTGTTTTCTCCATAGTTCTTACAGTGTGTTCACAGCATGTATTTTGGTAGGGGTTGGGGAAAGTTGATACAGTGTAGTATTGCAATATTTCACGTGTAATTACACAGATGCCAAGTATCAATGTTTTATTATATAAATTTGCAATATTGCAAATACAAATTAAACCTTTTTGTGGCATGCCAAAATAATAAAAATCAGTTTCTTTTTCAGTCCACTAGATACATTTTGATGTGATAAAAATGACTGAAGTGACACACTTTAGCATTTGATTCAACAGATGTGGTCAATTGTTTCCTTTGGGGATATAATTTACAGTTGAAAAAAAAGTAATAAATTGCAAAATATCATAATATATGTTCATGCAATGCTCAGCATGTAGCAAAATGTTTTAAATCACAATAATATTTAATTGTGACAAAAGTATTGAGATAATATTGTATGATGAGTTCCACCAGTAGTTTTTTGGGCAACAATATTACCAGTAAAGCTTTTGGGAACCATCAAGTTGCAGAGTTAAACCACCATTCAGCCAGGGTTGCTACTTTGGCTATGTATGTTTTTTTGACGCTTTTCTGTTATAGGTGAAAACATATTTTAACATTACACTTTATCATAGAATGTTTTGGCTCTGGAGTTTTGTAGAAAGTTTTAAATATCGCTGTTTAAAAAGGAAAACAAAAATCTGACACTTGCCTTTATCCATTTCACATCGACATTGTGTCTTGACAGCTCACACTCAAGAGAGATTACTGCCCCGTCAGGGAATTTCTGGTCTTCCAGCTTTCTGAGAATGGTCACTGGGGGCTCTGGTGGAGACAAAGCATGCTGAGTTAGTCAAGAAAAGTATTTCTTAATTTTCTCCAAACAAGGCACCAAGTGTGTGTGTTGCTTCCCAGAATTAAAGCAGGGATACAGTTATGTGGACTAATTTACAGCAGTGAGATTTTCATCCAATTGTCATCACCAGAGTTTTAACCACTAGCTCAAAGGGATGATGCATACTTAGTGACTTAGCTTGGAGTGGATTATTTTACAGCATGGGGTTAAACTAGCACCTGACAGATAAGAGTGAACAGAGCTACCGCTTTTCACTGGGTTATGCTAGGCTACTTTGTGTTTGTAACGTGAGCCCAGATAAAGCCAACAGAAGTAGAGCCGTCACTCTATTCTATTATCATGCCTCAACTCGTTGGCATCCGGTCTACTCTGAGTGGACCACTTTAGCTACCAGCCTGAGGTCACAACAAAATTAGTACAGTAAAGTCTTGTTTTGGTAGTACTGCAGTCTACTGTACAGGGTTTGTGAGTTTAAAAGTTACAAAGTAGACCATGTAGATTACTTACAGCCACCTTGTGCAAAGTACATTTCCTCATATTAGTTACTTTTTTACATTAGACCATGCAGAATGATACTGTTACATTTATGGAGAAATCAAACATCGGCAAAGCCTCTTTTCCTAAATTACCTACCCTTCACAACAAGCCTTGCAGCTGTCTTCAGATTCTCAACACAGAACATAAAGGTGCCAGTGTCTTCAACTGATAGGTTAGAGATAGTGAGGCTGTGGACTTTTCCTTTGGCACTCATACGGAAGTGATTTGTCGGCTTAAGCTGGATTGCGTTTCTCGTCCAGGTGCCTGTGACATTGGGATGGGAGAGCTCCACCTCAAAAGATGCCGTTTCTCTCTCTGTGGTTTTAACGTCAGTCAGCCCTCTCTTGATTGTGATCTTTCGAGCTGTGAAGACAAAGGCAGAGCTGTGTAAAAGACATCACTGTACTACTCCCACAAGCTTGAGTACACATTTAACTTTCTACCTTGTGGGCATTTTTGTGTAATAATAGTTAAACAAAGGTTTTATTTGAAACATGGCCTTGGTAACAAGCATTTTCATTCCACTTTAACACTGCGCAGACACAGCGTCCATTCTCTGTTACAGAATAGGCTTGGAGTCCATTCTGTATGTCTGCAGTTAAACAATACGAGCTGGCACACATTGACAAGCCGATAGTTTAGTCATTTGAGTATGGGGCTTTACACAAAAGCCGGCTTTGAAACTGCCAACATTTTTCACTTATTCTAACACAGACAAGCATTCCCTGTGGAAAAAAAAGGAGTGTTTATTTTGGAGACCTGATGACAGCAACCTTAGTTTTGAAGGCCAGGGTGTAAATTTAGATGCAATGAGAGGAGATCCAAATTCATAGGAGGTGCCAACAGCAGCCTGAAGTCCTGACTTTCCCCTTCCCACCCACACTAGTGTTGAAAGAACAGCCTTTAATTCACCCACTGGCCTGTGGCTCATAGGCCTAAGAAATACAAGAAGCATGCACAAAGAAAAACAAGCATAAGTACGTCTTAATCACTACAAGATGCCACTTTTATGGTGTGTCAAATTTGCTGCTTTCAAGAAGTTTAAGTGGTGGAGGTTCATAGGACAAGTACTTTGTTTGCAAATTGTAATACTAGTCATTGAACCATAGTATCTTCACTTGTTATTTATCAAGCACTTCCCTTAAAACTGTAATCTGATTTGCCTTTGACAGAGTTAATGAAATCATCAGGGCTCGATTGATCCTGTGTCAATCCTGGACTGAAAGTCAGCTTGGGCTGTAAGGCTGTCACCTGTTGGTTGCCATCATGTTCCAGTACAAGTGCTACCCTGGTCCCCAGTCACTCAAATTACTCTTACTCAGTTAATTAAGCATTGCCTTCACAAGAAGCAGTGATAGAGGGTGTGCAAGAGGTGGAGTCATCGGCAACGGCGGTAAACAAACAACAACAGGGCATAGTGAGAACACGTGCATACTCACGTTCCACTGTGAGCTGTGCTTGCGTGCGGTCATGAAGGGTTTCACAGCTGTAGGTGCCCCGGTCAGACATGGCCAGTTTGTTGATGGTGAGACTGTGTTTTCGGCCTTTGTGTTTCAGGGTGTACTTGGTTCCAGGGTGGATCAGGACACCTTGCCTCATCCACTGAACCTCTCCTGAATCCAGACTCACCTCCACCTCTAGAGAAGCCTCACTGTACTCTTCAGCATTAACTGGTGTCATTTTCTTGGTGAACATCACCTGTTGCTCTAAAACAGAATTTAAGGAATTATTAGATAGCAACATCTTTCATGTCGAAGAATTAGGGACTTTATATGATTACACTGTGTGTATGCTGGCCCACAGTTAAATATATTGTCATAACTGCCAGAGAGATATGATGTTATTGTACAGTAAATGGTTCTAATATGTTTTAACTTATATGATTCAATATGGAATACATTTGTGAACATAGTGTTAATGGTTGAGACAACAGCTCACCTTGAATCTGGAGCTCTGCCTCTGATACCAACCCCTCTGCATCAGCTGTCACTCTGCCGCTATCTGAAACCATGCAGTTGTGGATGCAGAGCATGTGGCATAGTCCATTACTTGAAATGACAGTGCGCTCATTCAGGGCTACTTGCTTGCCATTTAAGCGCCACACCAACCGAGTGTCCTCTGGTGAAACCACACACTTAAATACTGCATCTTCTCCTTCGCGGACCGTGATGTTACGAAGCTCTGCTATGAACTCAACAACACGAGGAGCTGTGGGCAAAGCATTCAGCTGAATTAGAATCATTACATTATTTTTCCCTGACCTGCATTAATGTTATGTGATTTTAGCTGACTTACTTTCTACAGTGACAGTTGCTGACGTCCTGTCATCTGTGGATTCACAAGTATATTCTCCAGCATCTTCTTCCACCAGTTGGTGGATGGTAAAGCTTCGCTCTCGACCTTGTGCCCGTATTGTGTGCCGACGGCTTGGAGAGATTTCTTGGCCGTCTTTGAGCCACTGGACATCTCCTTTGGGCTTGTTGATCTCACATCGTAATATAAGGCTGCTGCCCTTCAGAGACACTACGTTCTCCAGTGGTCTGACAAATTTCACCTTCATTTCTGATGAGCAGAATAAAGAAATACAGGTCCAGAGATGTTTATTCTGTAAAAGTAAATGTGTATTTGGAAGTAGAGGTCACATTTTGCTTTGGAGTGCCAAATTCTTACCTTTGACTAAAAGACTGAAATACATCTCATCTGTCTTTACGTCACAGACATATTCTCCAGAATCTGACAGCTGCAGGGGATTAATGGTGAGCTTGTGGGTATTACCCTCACTGGAGATGTGAATGTTGTCCCCGTTCAATAGTTGGCCATCTTTCAGCCACCGAACATTAGATCTTTCCCGGCTCACAACGGCACACAGCGTAACACTCTCATTTTCATAGGCTGAGACATTATTATTTGCTTTTTTATTCTCAAACACTGCTGGTAGCTCTGAGAAAAAAATAGATTTGCAAAGAAGCTGCTTGTAAATTGCATGTTCATGTTCATGAAACAGTAAGTTCATGAGAAATGAAATCTAAAACGTGTTTCAAAGTAATCTTAATCCTACCTTGGACCTCAACAATTGTTGTCAATTTATCATCAAAGGCATCACAAACGTATTTTCCAGAGTCTGATGGCTGAAGTCCAGAGAGAACAAGCTTCCTCACAACATCATAGCTGTCAATTTTTATACGAGTGTCTGGTTTCAGCGTCTTGCCATTCCATAACCACTGAACGGTGGCATTTGGCCGAGACACCTCACACTCCAAAATAAGATCATCCCCTGCTACCAGGATATGATGCTCTGGGTGGCCTGAGTTTCCAATGATCTGTACTGGAGGCTCTGAACATAAAAGGCATTGCATTATTTTCCTCCAGAGTGAAGGAAAGACAGATAACATTTATATTGCTTTATAACATGATTACCTTTGACAGTGATGTAGAAGACCATCCTATCATCCACCGCATCACAGGTGTACTCTCCTGAATCTTCAAGCCCAGCATTTAGGACAACCAGTGATCGGAAAACACCTTGTTCCTCACTGCAGTATCGCTCAGTGTCATCAATTAGCTGATTGTCTTTGTACCAACTGACTGAGGCACTGGATCTTGACAGTTCACACACTAGAATAATGTCATCTGATACCAAGAACTGCTTTTCAGTTTTTGCATCAGTTTTTCCAATAATTTTTACAGGCAACTCTGAAAATGAACAAAAAAGAACCAAATTTGTAATGGAACAGAAAAACCTTTTTATGCATTTTACTGACAAAGAAAATATCGAAATATATTGTGCCCAAAAGTTATTGTAGTATCTGGATGAAATCAATGATCTGGTTTAAATTTGCATTGTCTCTCTGTTGGCTAAGTCCTGATCTTGAGTGCAAAATATACAGAACTTGTAAAGACAGAAGATTACAAAACAGTCATCTTTCAGGATTTATGGGGCTCCATATTATTTCAGAGTTATAGCTTTAACCACAATAACCTACCTTGCACGTTTACGTAAAAATCCATCACATCATCCTTTGCATCACAGACGTATTGCCCAGCATCCTCCACTGTTAGTGAGTGAACAGTTAATTGGCGCATGACACCATCCTCAAGGATGGTGATATTTCTGGAGTCTTCTACCTCTTCCCCATTTTTCTTCCAGGTGACTTCGGCATTTGATCTAGAAACCTCACAGTCAAGAACCAGAGTCTCCCCAGCCATTTTGTCAACTCTACATGCCATCTTCCTTGGACGTACAAAGCGAACAGGAGGCTCTGTGCATTTAGAAAATGTCATGTTAGAAATGGATAAACACGGACAGAGCAACACACTTCAGATGGCCCACTTTTTTATTCTTCCTTTACCTGCTATGTTGACAAAGAATGTGACAGAGTCATCTGCAGTATCACAGACGTATTCGGCGGAATCTCTGACGGTAGTTTCAGGTATAATGAGTCTTCTGTAGACACCATCGACCTCTAAGATAAGGTTGTCATTCTCCTCCACTTCAAGTCCGTCTCTATACCAGCGTACCACTGCATTGGGCCGTGAGATCTCACAGCTCAATACCATCCTCTCAGAGGTTTGCTGGCAGAGTTCCATCTGGGACTGACTTGGGGACACAATCCGCACTGGAGGTTCTGGATGGATGGATGGATGGATAGATAGATAGACAGATAGAGGGGTGTAATCATCCACTTTAGCCATCAGTCATTAGTTTAATGAATGCTACAAGACATCTGCATTGTTATCTAGGTGTCAGGCTAATGCATCACTTACAGAACTGTCTTTGCGTACATCTTTGATCCTGAATGATTCCGTTTACCCCTAACTTTGGCAGTGTTGCAAGGCACTTGTCCAATCATCAAAAAGCCCCTGAAACATCCTCCCCCTTTTGAACATCAGAATTGATTGGGCTGCGTCGACAATTTTCTTTCCAAACTTTTCAATACTTAACAAGCATGCCCACTTCACATAGCAATTAGCCAGGTGTGTGGGGGTAGGCAACTAGCAAGATCTGAACTTTATTAGAATGTGTCACCCAAGCTCTCTTTTTTCAGTCTTCATATAACTATTAGTTTGTTTTTGTGTCTACAACTAAATGAAACATCACAAATGCCATTGAGAGACTGTGTGAAAGTGTGTGCCATTATCCCCATTTGCACAATTCATAATGTCTCGTCCCTTTTTATGATGCTTGGCTTTTCAGTGAACCTTTGACTGTGGCCATTCAGAACAAGGATAAACACTTTTGCCATTAGACATGTTTAGACAACACACTGGACAAAATTGTTGGTTTGAAGCACACTGATGCCTTAGATCTACTCCTGCTTTATGATGTTCCAATTCTGAGACTGCCCATTGTTCTGACGACTAATCCCGAATCCCCAGCAGTCCGAAAAATGTCCCAGTAGACCAAAGGCCCACTTGTTCGACAGCCTGGTATCCTAAAAACAAATGCACATTGTGTCAAACCAGTTCCATCGAAAACAGTATTGCCCACTTCCTCAAACAGAAACACGTGGCTAATTATTATGCAGAATGACGCCATCAGACCTTCCTACCAAAGGCATCATACCTCCTAATCTGCCTCTGACTGGCTAGTACTTGCTTGTTGCCTTTGTTGGTTAGGTTGGTTAGGTTTAGGCATGCAGAGTGACATGGGTTAGGGTAAGAATATCAGGGTAAGCCAATCAGAGGCAGAGCAGGGCAGGTCATGCCTTGACCATTAAAAAAAATATATATATTGAAGAAGCTAGGCTGTCAGATCTTACAGACAGATGTTTAATTAAAAAAAAAACCTTCTCTGGTTGGCATTATGTACCATTCTATGCAGTAGTGATACTAAAATTGTAGTAAGGGCTTAATCCCTTAAAAACAAGCAAATCATGTGTCTTCATGGACATACATGGGTAAGTGTTTGTCAGAATGGAGGTCTTTTGTTTGTTGCTGCCATGTGGTGTAGTTGGTAAGTTACCAGATGTCAGTTCCAACAGCTATATATATTTAGGCCTACACTGATGCACCCAATCAACCGGTGAAAGGCAGTGGTTAATATTAGGAGACAGGGCCTACTTATTAGAGGCTGTGAATCTTTCTAACTGCTGGGAGTATGTATCTTCAGAGAACTGGGCAACCAGAGCAATGTCCGTTTGTTTTTGGGATATCAGGCTTTCAGTCCAGTGGGACATTTTTCTGACTGTCATGGTTTTTGAAATGATTAGCCTTTTGGTACTATGGCATGGCACCAAGATACCAACATATATAAAAATGTGCAATACGCTGTATGTATTATCAGGGATTTTACCTGTAATACTAAGGTGAAAGAAAATTGAAGCGTCAGCTGTATCACAGACGTATTCTCCAGAATCTTCGACTCCACTAGAAACAATCTTCAGCCGTCGATAAGGGCCCTCAACCTTGAGCTTGATGTTCTCACTCTCCTGCAGCTTTTGGCCGTCTTTGTACCAGCTGACAACACCATTTGGACGAGACAATTCACAGCTCAGAATAATTTCCTCAGGGACATGACGGTCCAGGTGGACATCCTCCTTGGGGTAGATTATCAACACCGGAGGTTCTTTGGAAGAAGAATACATGAAATTGATAACTGTGAGTGGGGGAGCAGATTTTATGCAACATATTTTTAGAGAAGTTTTCATGAGCTATCTTATTACCTCGTATGGTAACCTTGTACATTAGAATGTTGTCTCCAGCACGGCATGTGTATGTGCCTGTGTCAGACAGTTGGGTTGAATGTACTGTCAAATTCCTTCTGGTGCCCTCTGCTTGCATTGTGATATTGTTGCTTGGTTGCATTTCAATTCCATCTTTATACCACTGGACAACACCATCAGTCCTTGATACTTCACATGACAGAACAAGCTGTTCTTGTTCCACAACACTCTTGAAAAGGTCTTCCTCTGGGATATCAGCAAACGTTACCGGTGGTGCTGCAGAAGACAATACACAAAAGAAGTAAGAACGTAGCATTCGTTGTCAATGCTCAAGCATGCAGTAGTATTAAGGCCAGATTTAAACAGCTAAGACATGCTGATCTCAAGCCTTTCTAGATGACAGCTCCTACACATGATTATAATCATTGGGTGTTAATCCACTTTTGGACCAAAGTGGAAAAAATGAAGCAGTGCATTGATTTAATGCAATCCATAGGTGTGTGAAAAAAGAGTATGACTCATCAAAATACATGCTATTAAGTGTGAAGCACGTATATGAAAAGCATGTTTAATGAAATTAGGATATTTAGAAGGAAATCAGCTAAGATGAATCAGATGATGATCAGGTTCTGCTTACTCCTTAGATATTAGAGATCATGAAGGTGTATGAGATTCTACCATGACAACATCTTGCCAAGAAAAAGCTCAGCATATCACCTTTCACCTCCACACAGAAATCGTTGAAATCTGAATCATCATCATCATCAGTTTTACAACTGTATACTCCAGAGCATGAAGACGTGGTCGACTTCATAACCAGTGTCCTCTTATTGCCCTCTGAATCGATGTTTATTCCCGATTTTGGCGAGTGTTTTATTCCATCCTCATACCAGCAGGTCTGGCTTGTGGGGTCTGAGATCTCATACTGCAGTCTGACTGGGCTGCCTGCTTCAACAGATTTGCTCTCCTCAGCCTCTGGAACAGCTGAGAATCAAATTGGTGCTATAGGAATTTCAATTCATTGAACAGTAACCAGATAATTATCAGATTTGCTATGCTATGTTAAAATTGTTTGGTATGATAAAGTTTTCACCTACACAAGTTGACAGTGAGATCCCTCAGTTACTTAAAAATAATTTGAATGACGGGCCCACTCACATGTAATCAGTGAGCCAGAAGAAAATTAGTTCATTTATTTTTCTCTATCTGTCTATTTGTCTATTCAGTCACAGTTGTTTATACAGAACATGTACAGCCTTAGTGCCCTTTCAGACCAGGAGGTCTACACCATCTGCAACTCATCCTTCATAAACCCTGCAGAGGCACACAGTGGCAAGGACAACAGTGTGCTTTGCATTCAACTAGTGAAATTTTGACACTGTCAGAAATTGGGAGTCCCATGGGCCACTACAGTTACCACTGGACTGAGCAGTTAAATGACCATGAACTCTTTCACCCAGTAACTCCTTACAAATTTGTGGCAAACATCTGCCTGTTTTGACACCCAGCAGACACAGAACAAATGTACAATGGTGTATTGCAGTCATTGTAGGGGGAAAAAAGCTGGGGGAGGGGGATTATACTCTGAGAAAAAACTTCAGAGATTAAAGTCATAGATTTACAAGAAAAGACATGGATATTCTCTGGTGTCCTAGCAGAGTTGGAATATGACGTTAACATGAATGGGCCTATTCAGCTATTTAGCTAAAATTTATGTAAACAGTGTGCAGCAGCTTTATAAATCCAAAAAACAGTAAATAATAAGTCAGTAAAGTGCTAAAAGTAATAAGCCAACGTTGACTCACATGGGAAACAGCCTGCAATCTCCTGGGTGAAAGTCCTGTGCTTGACTCAATCATCCACCACAACTTCATCCATATGTGGATGTTGTTGCTCTTTATACTGCTTTACCTGACTTTTGGCAAAAAGCCTGGAGGGCATTTTTTTCTTGAAAATTTGTGACTTTATAATCTTGGAGAATATCCAAAACTGCTCTGTTTAGGTCCCCACCAACTCCTGGGGAAAACAGCTGGTTCTTTAGCTGCTAAATGCTCCAATGTGTTCACCAGCTAGTTGCTAACTTTGTCATCACACATGCTAGGCAAACAGCACACAGTCTATCAGAGATTTGGGGGCTAAAAAAACAACAGTAGCCTATTGCAACCTGGAAACAGAGTTATTGAGGCATGAGACTGAACAGTCAAGTTGCTGGCTGTAAATCCAATGTGCTAAAACATTCTCTGGAGCTAATGGTAACTCCAGAGAGATGGTAACCCAATATGGTTTGTTACTATGAGCACCCCTTGTTACTTTATACCTAGGAATTTGATCCACTGTTTACATGAAATTTTGATTTGTGCAGTTTAAAGATGAGTTTACAACAATGCTCTTTTTAAAAAAGTCCAGTCTGAAAGGGCCTTTGAATATTTGCTTCTTAGGGCAAGAATAACATTGAGCTGCACATTACTGCCACTGCATAAAAAGAAATTAGCAATATTGAATAATGTCTGATCCTTTATGCACTTATCCATGGTCAAATTTAAGTAAGATGTTACAACATTGCATTTCTAAAATCATAGAGAGTACATGATTAAGAATCAGCACACTTTGTCGTAGAATATTTTACAATAAAAACAAGTTGATCTAGTAGCCAAGCATTCACTGAAAGATGTTAGTGATTCTGACAAAGCTCAAAATACTTAGATCACCTGCAACATCCACCTTGAATTCTATATGGTCATCTGCGGCCTCACAGCTGTACACCCCAGAGTGTCTGACTTCTGCAGATGCAATAACCAATGCTCTCAGTTGTTCTTTTGTTTCAATTTCATATTCACTCTTTGGAAGTAGTTGTTCTCCATCCTTGTGCCAATAGACTTGGGCAGTTGGCTCTGAGACTTCACACTGCAGCTTAATTGAGCAGCCTGCTTCAACAAATTTGTTTCTTGCAACATCTGGAAGTGCTGCAAACCTCACAGGAGCGGCTGGAGGGTATTATAAGATTTGCAGAGCACTGTTGTTAAGCTGCCACAACACCATTTAACAAGTAGTGTTCATCATCAAACTTTTTAGTTTGGTTATTTTAGAATATAAAGCGTGTAAAGATCTGTGTTTCAGACAGTGTTACAAAATACTCCAAGTAAGTGTATATGTAATTGGGCAAAAACGTTTACAGCTATGGGTAATGAAGGAAATGGAAATGCTAAATGCATCTCACACCTGGAAGCTCATTAACTAATACAAGAAATTCACCTTCAACGTCCACATGGTATGTCACCACATCATCAGCAAGGCTACAACTGTAGAGGCCAGAATCGGAGACTTTAGCAGAATGAATGATTAATTTTCTCAGGCTGCCATCTCTTTTCATATCAAGGCCAGTTCTGCAAAAAAGCTCCACCTCATCCTTAAACCAGGAAACCTGGGCGACAGGGTCTGAGACCTCACACTGGAGCATAATTGGACAACCAACTGCAATCATCTTGTATTTTTCTGACAGTGGGATTGGCAAGATCTGTGGCGATCGGCCTAAGAGAGGGGAATAACAAGGGTTTTGAATAAGAGATGATTTCACTAACAGTGGACAAAACACACTGTCCAGCCAGTCACACCACATTCTAATAAACATTCAAAACAAAGGAAATTTTGTTCACCACTCACGCAATAGAGTAAGATGGACGTGGTGTGTATGATAAGAAGATAGTAAGGGTGGAAGTAAATCACCTTCTACGTCCACTTTAAACGTGATGGTGTCATCTGATGTTGAACATTCATAGGTGCCACTATGTATGTTTTCAGCTGAGTGGATGAGCAGTGTCCTCGTTAGACCATCTGACTGTATTTCCATATTGTTTTGTGGGAGGAGTTCCATCCCATCCTTGTACCAGTCGACATGAGCAGAAGAATCATGAGACAGTTCACAGCTGAGGACAATGGGAGAACCTTCTTGGACGGACTTGCTTCTGTCACTCTCTTGAAGCTCTGAGAACTTCACAGGTAGTGCTATAGGTTTCAGATATTGCAAAAAGAGTGTTTTAATAAACTTTGTTAATATAGATTCTTGAAGTAATTAAATATGCAACCTAGTGTATATTCAATTACAAATAATTTCAAGACACAACAACATAACACACAACATAAACACAACCTGCTTAAGAGGGACAATGATTGAAACAAAAAGTTATTCAAAGGGATAAAAGAGTAAGAATCAAGTACTGAAACTTCAAAGTTATCCACAGTGATAACAAGCACAGACAAAATGCACGGGTAAGACATAAACGAGAAAGTGACAGTGTTTGCCCATGTTAAAGTATTTGGTTAGTGTCTTTAATAAAAAAACCCATGAAGCTTTAGCTTTCTCGTTAGCTTCCTGAAGATATTGGACATGCATAATAAGAAGCTGCATTGTGGAGCTGCACATTTAAATAAGATATTTGGATATACGATGTCCTATGTTACCCATTTAGTTAAAAAAATGGGCACCATGATTAGATGAGATAGTTATTTTTCTTCAGACTCACATATCATGTGATACCAAATTAACATAAGAAATTTTGATGAAATTATTTCAGAGGAAACCTTTTGCTCTAGATTTTTAGAGAAGTAGACGACCAATTCGGGGGCACAGAAAAATGAACCATTTTCTCTAAGATGATCAGACAAATGTGCCTTATCACCTGCTGTTACAGTTAGTTGGCCGTGCAAGACAGCGAAAGCGCTGCTGAGTTACTGGGCATCACCTTTTACTTCCACAGCAAACTGGATATCATCATCTTTTGACTCACAGCGGTATACCCCAGTGTGAGCCCGCTCTGCTGATGGGACAACTAGACTCCTCAAATTTCCCTCTGACTGGATCTCTACTCCATTTTGAGGTAGGAGCTGTGTTCCATCCTTGTACCAACTGACTTGTCCAGTGGGGTTTGACAGCTCACATTGTAGAGCAATGGGAGAGCCCGCCATGACTGTCTTTTTCTGGTCACCCTCAGATAAAGCTGAAAACGTCAGAAGTGGTTCTACAGGAAGTGGAGCTACAGGATTGAATGTAAAATAGAACTGGTCAACAAAATGGATACTGTTATTAACCAAATGAAGCAAAGCACAATCATTAAACTAAAGGCTTCAGCAGCATATTCAGCCATTAAAAATAAATAAAAACCTTTTATACTACTCTTTTGTTTCAGTATTTATAGCAAAATGTTTTTTAAAAAAGAATGATATATATATTATATATATGTGTGTATATATATATATATATATATATCTTGTACAGTAAATAAACATTGAAAACCTTGTTAGACCTAAAGTAAAAGTTACAAAAAATAACTGACTTTTATGGGGAAATGATACTTGAAGTAATGAATTTCATTATTTGAATTAATTTTAATTAGTTTTATGTAGTCTTGAGCCTTTTCCCCCAGTAATGATGCTTATGGGATGATTCTGCACAGAGCATTTGCAAAGTTGGAGGCACTCCAGTGTCTAACCTGGTAGAGAATAACATGAGAGGGACTAATGAAACCCTGGCCGCTGTTTTTCTTTTGATGTGACTGACAGCTTCCAAGAAGTTAGGGTAAAAATAGCACCAAAAATGTTTGTTTCTACTGTCTGATCTGGAAGGGGTTTAAAAAAAACTTATTAAGCCTTATCTTTAGGGGATGTTATATGTTATTATTTCATAGGCTACAGTCTGTCCTGCATAGTCTCTGCCAAAGAATGTATTTGCTTTGAGAAGATTTTTTTTTTTTGTCAGGCTTTCTGAAAGACTAAAACAAGTTCTCAAAGATTTAATGGGCGTATACTACAGTACTAGGAAGAAAAAATTGGGCACCTCGGTATTCTAAACACACTCCCAGCCTCTGCAGTGGTGTTTAAGAAACAGTGTAAACATTTAAAGAACACCCTTGACCTCCAATGTTGCTCAGGATCAGGAAAAGGGGTCTGGCTTCTTAGTCAGATGTTTATAAATAATGTTCCAAAGTGACTTTATCATCACTGCTACTCAGTGCGATTACATGACATTGGAGAAAACAGATTTATTGTGTTAGTCTGACTAAAACTGGACTTTTAAAATAGATGTAAACATTTTAATCCGCTTATCCAGGGCCGGGTCGTGGAGGCAGCAGGCCAAGCAAAGCATCCCAGACGCTTTCCCTGGGGGACCCCAAGGCGTTCCCAAGCCAGATGAGATAAGTAATCACTCCAGCATGTTCTGGGTCTGCCCAGGGGCCTCCTACCAGTGGGACATGCCCCAAACACCTCTGGCAATTGGTGCCAAGGACGCATCCTGATCAGATGTCCGAACCACCTCAACTGACCCCTTTCAACGCAAAGGAGCAGTGACTCTACGCCGAGCTTCCTCTGGATGTCCAAGATCCTTACCCTATCTCTAAGGCTGAGCCCAGCCACCCGACGGAGGAAACTCATTTCAGTTGCTTGTATCCGCAATCTCATTCATTTGGTCACTACCCAGAGCTCATGACCATAGGTGACCTATGGTCACCTGGTCATAGGTCACCTATGGTCATGAGCTCTGTGGTCATGCCTGAAATTCTACTAAATCAAATTTCTCAAAGTCAGACTAATACACCCAGATAATACAATTGGGACTGTATACATACTCCTGTATGTATACAGTCAATCGGACCCAAACTGGCATAGGTGCTTTGCGCATGCTCCACAGTTTCTGCCCTGGAAGTCAAATAGCATTAAATGCATAATGGAAGAGGAAGACGATAACTACATGGTAAAATCTACATCTGGAGCCATGCATTTTTGGACAGAGGAGGAGACACAGTTCATTCTGTGTCAGCTGAGAGAGTTAAATATTTTAAAATACATGGATGGGAGGAAAACAGGGAACAGAGACCTGTTCAAAAAAGTGGCAGAACAGCTGGTTGATGCTTGATTTTTTTGGTCTGTGACATAATAGGTCAACTGGTAAAAGGTCCAACAGTAACAAGCTGAAAGGAAACATATCGTCACCTATCGTAGTGGAGTCGGGCATACTTCGGTCAATGAAGCGATTCCCCTCCCATGCCTATTTACTGGGAGAAGGAAGGCAGTCCAATCAAATGGCCTAGTGGAGCTATAACCCTAGATGTGACCGTGCATGTAAACGTACTGAGTGACATTACCATTAACTCAATCATAGAACCCATCAGCTATCAGCTACCGGCAACAGCCAATATTTCCCGAGATCTGGTGAAGTAATTTGATATTTCGGTCAAGATTTCCTTTACCTTGTGCCAAAAACAGATATCCATATATGGACACAGATTAATTTTATAGTATAATAATATAAAGCTAAGTTGTTGTCAAAGGGTAGCCGATAAGTTCCAAACTTGCATTTCAGTCACTGCATTCTGCTTTTCCACATGGACTGTTTTACCTGCTACTCAAACATAATTGGTCGATACTACTTTGACTATAAAAGGAAACCAGAATGTTTCTTATACCAAAATCTTGTCCTGCTGCCTACAAATTCTGAGTATATATGGAGATATCTGTTTATAGAGATTAGCATCAGGTAAACTGGTGTAAAGTTAGTGTTCGTGTCCATTACTTATATTTGTCTGAATTTAGTTCAGCCCGTAATATTATAGGACTTTAACACCTTCCTAAAAAGACAGCAAACATTCAGAGCTTTGTAACTAAATATGTGAGTAAGAACTTTGCATTGTGTGAGTGTGAGCTCACCTTTTTATGCAAATGACAAACATTGCGAACTACCGAACCAGCTACTCTCAGACATTTAGGCAGAGAAGCAGAAGGAACTGCATGATTTGAGGTAAGGCTAAGAGATTCGCTTAATTAAGAATGTCATTGTGAGTAGGTAGGTTTTAGCTGTATCTAAGGGTTATTTTGGTTTATAGATAGAATGGAGCTAGAGAGCAGAGATTCTGTCATCTTTTACATACTACCAAAAGGTGTTCTGGTTCTTGACAGAAGTTGATTGTATTTTCTCAAAGCAATAAAATGAGAGGCAAAAACATTTTGGATGCACTTTACCCTGACTAAAATCTATTTGCAGAACAGATGAAAACAGCTTTTGTCACCTTTAACATCCACATGAAACTGCATTGCATCATCTGTTGTCTTGCAGCTGTAAGTCCCTGCATCAGACAGCCGCGCTGACTGGAAAGCCAGTGTTCTTATGGAACCCTCTGCCAGCATGTCTTGCCCAGCTGCTTCGTGTAGATTTATTCCGTCCTTGTACCAGTTAACTTTGGCATTAGGATCTGATATCTCACACTGCAGCACTATGGGTTCATCAACTTCAACAGACTTGTTCCTCTCAGCCTCACAAAGTGTGGTAATTTTCACAGGCGGAGCTGGGGATGTTTGAGGTAACATCAAGAGAAAATTGCATCACTATTACTGACTACAACAGAAATGATGCTTTCAAACAACAAGAGCAAAATCTCAAATCAAGATTAGTCATGCCAATAAATCTAAAGAGTTAAAGTAAGTCATAATAAAAGATATGTCTTTATGTTAGTAATCTAACAAGAGGTATCTCTGGTTAGACTTGAGATAACTAGGCATTCAAGTTAGAATTTGAAGCTAATGTAATTACTCTTTTTCCTATCTTTAATATTCCTCACAGACCACCCAAGCTCAAAGTTTTACATCGACTACTTAAGTAGTTTTAGTATGTACAAAATCAAGTACGTAAATGTAGAAATTGTCAAAATGCCAAGGATTGCAAAAAGCAATCTCTTCATTTTACACAATGTCAACATTGTGCCCGTCCATTTTTTATTTTTTTTTTTGATAATGCTAACCATTTAAATCACCTTCAACAGCCACCTTATTTGCAGTGACACTGTCACTCCAGTGACTGTCACATGTCCTTGACAGATAGATTTCTTCTGATTGGACAGTGGATGCCTGCTTGATATAACGAGGCTCTGCAAACTGGGAAGATGACCTTTGCCCAGAGCCAACTGTCCTGTTCACTTGGTCTTTTGATGCCTTCATGGTGTGATGACACTCTGCTTGGACCGTTGAGGCCTGCATGGACTGATACAGCACCTCTGAAATATTAGGTACTGCTTGCCCTGTGTGATAGAGGTCATCCAATCTGGCATGTAGCAAGTTGTAATGCTCCCTTGGTTGGACCGTTTCTGCCTCCTTAGAGTTATACAAGTCCAACGACTGAAGGGATACAGTGTTAAGGAAGTCACTGAGCTTCTCTGACTGGACAGTTGATGCCTGTAGAGGTCTATTTAACTCCCCTGATTGGTCAGTTGTAGTCCATAAGGAGTTACAGGACCCCTCTGAATGGACTGGTTCAGTTTGTAAGCAATTAAGAAGGTTCTTTGACAGGACAGCTGGCATCTGTATAGAGCTACAGTGCTCCTCTGATTGGATAATCGTAGTTTGTAAAGATTTAAAAGGCTCCTCTGGTTGGACCATTTCAGTCTGTACAGATTTAAAAGGCTCTTCTGATTGGATAATTGCAGTCTGTACAGCTTTAAAAGGCTCCTCTGATTGGACCATAGCAGTCTGTACAGATTCAAAAGGCTCCTCTGATTGGACCATAGCAGACTGTACAGCTTTAAAAGGCTCCTCTGATTGGACCATTGCAGTCTGTACAGATTTTAAGCACTCCTCTGACTGGACCATTTCAGTCTGTACAGATTTTAAAGGCTCCTGTGATTGGACAGTTGCAGTCTGTACAGATTTTAAGGCCTCCTCTGATTGGACCGTTGCAGTCCATACAGATTTTAAGCACTCCTCTGATTGGACAGTTGCAGTCTGTACAGATTTAAAGGGCTCCACTGATTGGACCATTGCAGTCCGTACAGATTTTAAGGGCCTCTCTGATTGGACACTTGCAGTGTGTACAGATTTAAAAGGCTCCTCTACATGGACAGTTGAGGTGTGTGAAGATTTAAATGGCTTCTCTGATTGAACAGTTCCAGTGTATGAGGATTTAAAGGACTCCTCCGATTGGACAGTTGCAGTGTGTGAGGAGTTAAAGGACTCCTCTAATTGGACAGTTCCAGTGTGTGAGGAGTTAAAGGACTCCTCTGACTGCAGAGTTGCAGCTTTTAAGGAATCACAGAACTTGTCTGATTTGACTGTTGAAATCTGTAAGTGGTTAGTAAAGTGCTCTGACTGGGCAGGTAAAGTCTGCAGGGGGTTACCTAGCTCTGACTGGACAGTCCGCATCTGTTTTGAACTATGCAACTCTTCTGATTGGACAGTTAGAGTCTTGAGAGTGGATTCCTCTGATTCAACAGCTGCAGTTTGTAGAATATGACAGATCTCATCTGTCTGGACAGCTGTCTGCAGAGAATTATCAGGCTCTTCAGATGGGGCTTCTGCATGCTGTAGGTAGTAAATGAACTCCTCACCTTGTGATTCTGTGGGCTTATTCATGTGATGGTGTGTGTCAGATTGCATTATTGTTGGCTTTTCAGAGTTACAGTAAACTGGAGATTGGGCATTTGTAGTTCGTTGACTGTCGGAGAGCTTCTTTGGCTGTTTAGTCGTAATCCAGTCAGTTATATGTTCATATGTCGACTGAGAAGTTGGCATTTGCCTGGAATGTTCTTCATCTGTCTGAGTATCTCCTCTCTTGTCACAGAAGGTGCCAGAATTGCATTTTGAGGACATGCAGTCAACTTCAGCAGCATAAGCCTCTTCAGTGGACTTCTTTTCTTGGTCAGAAGAGAGCCTTGGCGATGTAGCTATAAGCATTGTGATGTACACAGAGAAAGGTTTTCAGTGGTTGATGGTCTCAATACTTCTTCTCATAACAGAATTTTACATCAGTGTGGGTTAGCATGGAGTTATGGGATAATTCATTGCAAAGACAAACAAGAAGATCGACCAGGTTTGGTCTGAGATTGAGCTCCTATAATTCCCCATTCAACTGACTCCTAATACTGGGGTACCACCAGTATGTACACTAACACCCTAAAAACCTAAAAAGTACATAAATTTCTTGTCTTTGAAAAGAGTTCGTTGTCATTGCAACGGTGAAAGGTTCAGGGCAGCAATGTGAATGAGAGGATCTGGTGATGAATAAGACATAAGATGGATTTAAAGAGTGGTAAGCTGCTTGTTACAAGCAAAGATGGCTGTTAAAATGAAGAATTAATTAACAAACACAACATGTATGTTAGTATAAGGAGCAGCTACCCAGCTACTTAACACCCACATGTTGATTAAGAGCCAAACACTGCAGGAAATGACATGAGACCAGGATTCAATATGACAAAAAGCAATATTGAAAAGGAAAAATAATGCAGATGCCTCAGATGATTGAGCTAACACCACTATTGTTAGTGGCATTTATGTGCTGGGTTAAGATGGATGACTGATGTTGAAATATATCAAATCACCTTCGACATCCACAGTGTATTGGACAGATGAATCAGCTATCTCACCAATCTCGTCACCATAGTGACACTGCTCTGCTGTTTGGACAAAGCCAAAGAGAAAACAATGAGCTGGGTGATGGCTTCATGTATGTAACTAAATACTTGATTCTTATTTGTGCAGGTACAATGTGGAACACCACCTTTCATGTCCACATTTAACTGTGCATCACCAGATGTTTCACAGCCAAACCTCCCGTCATCAGACAAGTCATATGACTGGAGGGGCACAGCTTGGCTGCTGCTCTGTGATTCACAGTCTGCTTCCCATTTTGGATAGATCGGGGTTCCATCTTTGTACCAACAGGCTTTGGCAATGGGATCTGAAATCTCAAATTGCTGAACAATTGGGCAGTCCGCTTCAGCAGACTCAGTCTTCTCAACATCAGGATCAAGCAGATATGTCGGAGGTGGCACTACAATCATTGGGGGTATAATTTCAGTGTACATCTTAGATGTTAGTGACTTCAAAGAAATACTGTCAAAACTATCACAGATATTAGCTCTGCACTGTAACAACAAATAAGAAGACAGACTAAAAGCTACACAAATAGTTAGTCCTAACTAAAATTGGAAACACATTTGCAAAATCACCTTGATTGTTTACTATTAATTGGGCAACATCATCTGCTGTTGCACAATAGTATGCTCCAGAGTTTGAAGGATGAGTTGGTTCAATAACAAGGGTCTTCTTGATGCCTTCCATTTCAAAGTCAGGCTCTTTATTAGAATCATGTTCTTTATCCTCCTGCCATGACACCTGGAAAGCAGGGTCTGAGGTTTCACATGTTGGTTCAGTTGGGCAGGTTGCATCAAGTGACTGCGTCTCCACAACCTCTGGCGAGGGCGACAACGGCAGCGTTGGAGCTAAAGATGATGATTCATATTATAATTGTGGACTCAACAGTGCATATGTACACTCTGAATAAGAAAGGGGTTATAGGTTCAGCTTTCCCAAATGGGGAACCAATCTTTTTTAATATCTCAGATCAAATTCAAGGAGAAAAACTCACATTTTCAAGGGTTACATAGATATTTTCATTTTGTCAGTAGAGGTTATTTACCATGACTTAAGATAGTTATAACTTCACACAAAACACCACTAAAACACAGACAGACAGATATGCATATAGTAAATGTTAGTTGCATCATGTCACCAGAAAGCTCTAGGATTTGCTCTACGATTCAGCAAATTTAAATAAAAATCACCTTTGACATCCACAGGGAAGTGAAAAGTGTCATCAGAGGTTTCACAGCTGTATAGCCCTGAGTGCAGGAGCTCAGCAGATGGGATAATGAGTCTCCTCACCGTGCCTTTACTCTGTATATCCCAATCATTCTGCGAGGAGAGCTTTACACCATCTTTATACCAGCAGACAGGCACAGTGGAGTCTGCAACCTCGCATTCCAGCTCCAAAAGTTTGCCCGCTTCAAGTGACTTGGTTCTCTCAACATCAAAGATAGGCGAGTACGTCACTGGTATAGCTAGCAATGGGAATTCAGGACAGCTAAATAAAATCAAGGCTGTGGAAATGGATACCTTGCAGAAATATTACTGCTGAGCAGAAAATTAAAAGGCTGTCGAGGCTTTAAATTCAGGGCACAGCAATTGCAAATTGAATTATTATACCTAATAACTGCCTAGTGCATTAACAGGTCTTTAAGGTTATATGCATGAAACAGTCCTTCAAACCACATACAGTACAAGCAGGGATTATTAGTGGCATCTAGAAAGAGGATGTGGGGTTATAATATTAACGCACAAGGTAAAAAGGATAAAGTCACCTTTGATCTCCACTTGAAACTCCATGGTATCATCCTGTGTGGTGCATCTGTACACACCAGAGTGGCACAGCTCGGCAGACTGAACAACTAATGTCCTTGTGTTGCCCTCTGAGTGGATTTCTAATCCAGTGTTTGAAATGAGCTGCATTTCATCCTTGCACCAGCAAACGTGGGCCTCAGGATCCGACACCACACACTGGAGTACAAGAGGGCAGCCTGCTTCGATCGACTTGGTCCTCATTTCTTCAGGAATTGCTGAGAACTTCACAGGTGGAGCTACAGATATGTTTACAGCTTATGTCAACCTTAAATCAACCTCATGCCAGCCTTTAAGATGATTCATAATAATCTATTTACTGACAACTCAATTGCTAACATGCTGTAATGCAGTCAAAGAAAAGGTGACACAGTAGCTGCACTTCTTATGAGTGCTAAGAAGAAAGGCAACAGACAACATATAAAAGTATCATCAGAGTTAGTTGCTTTGCTGAGGAGGAGCTTGTTAATGTTTCACATCACTAAAGGTAAAACCAATCACCTTTTATGTCCACACTGAATGTGATGGCGTCACCCTTTGTCTTGCAGCAGTATAACCCAGAGTGGAAAAATTCTGCTGAATGGACAATCAGTTTTCTCGCCAAGTCGTCAGTTAGAATATCTACTCCAGTTTGAGGATGGAGCTTTGACCCATCTTTGTACCAGTGCACCTGGGCAGAGGGATCTGAGAGCTCACAGCATAAAACAATGGGGCAGCCGAGTTCGATGGTTTTGTTCCTCTCAACATCTGGAATTGCTGAAAACCTCAGAGGTGGGGCTATGGATATTTAGATAGTTTCATGGATTGTTAAATTGTAAATCTTATATGTTTTGATAAGTTAGACTTTAAGAGGAGACTAAATGCATTTTTAAATAAGAAAAAAAGGGTGGGGGGGTGACAATAAAAATGGTTAGTGAAGGACACCAGTATTGTTAGAAACTCACTCCACTCACCCTCGACTTCCACATTGAACCGGATGACGTCATCAATGGCATCACAGCAATACACTCCCGAATGTGAGAACTCTGCTGATTGGATGACAATTCTCCTCATGGTGCCCTCTGATTGGATATGCAGACCCTCCATTGTTTGTAATTCCACCCCATTTTTGTACCAGTGCACTGGAGCTGCAGGGTCCGACAGCTCACAGTAGAGCACGATGGGGATCCCAACTTCTACAAATTTGTTTCGATCCATTTCTGACATTGGTGAAAACTTCACGAGAGGAGCTGCAAATTTTAGAAAAACAAGGAGAACGTTTTACATGTTAGAGTCTTGTCAACACGCTTTAATCCCAAGTCGTCACATATCACTGCTTTGTCATTGGCCTTTCACATCAACACGTATTATGCCCTAGGTATCCTTCTGCGTCTGCTGTTGACGTTCCAAGATACCGCTACCTATGCCAGGATGTCACAAAATCACATGGTTAGGCTTACAAAAAAACATCACAGTTTGGCTCTATAGTCATTGTGGAAGCAAACATCAGGTTTCTGGGTGAAACTCTGGCGTTTGTTGGACCCATCCTCCATCCCTCCCATCTGCCCTATAGAGATTTTCCAGCTACTAGAAATATGTTGTTACTGGCAGCGTTTCAACCTGATGTCGTCCAGCGGTAGGGTTGGGTAGGTTCTCGGTAATACCAATTCGGTTCGGTACTCCGTCTTGGACCGGGTTTTTTGTTTTTTAGACCGACCGGACCGCATACTCGGGCGGAACGCACGCAGAGCGCCGAAGCCTCTACTGTAGCCTGGGGAGTTGATAATGGCGGACAATTTAGTCTTGAAGAAATCAAAGAATGCGCCACTATGGCAACACTTTGGCTTTGAGCCAGACGAAGGAGGCAACCCTTGTTTGCACTGATTGAGTAAGCTGCAAAATTTATTTGTAAGGAATAAAAGAAACAACGTGTTACTGTCACTCTGTTGTCCTATGGCCTTTTTTATTTTAAATGAGTCAACTGCGCCCCCAAGTAGCGAAAATCCAGTATTACCGACTTGATGCGTTTTTTTTTTTCACAAAAACCGGACCATTTATTTATTTATTTTTTTTTCTCATACTGACCCAACCCTATCCAGTGGCATATCATACCACTGTGACAGGTGCTGTCTGGCTACGTTATGAACTGACACCACCCATCCACGTATCATACTGCCTTGACAGATGCTGTCCGGCAGACCAGCGTAGTATCATACCACAGTGAAAGGTGGCTTTGGCATCAGGAGTCTTACACTGTAAATCACTGACAAAGCAGCAATATTTGACGACTTTGGAATGAGAATGGGCTGGTCTTGTCATTCACAATAATGAAGTATAGGCTGCAGTAATTAAGAGTGATTATGCATTGTTGGTACCAAACATTATTTGCAAATTTGTCCAAATTCCAATTAAAACAAAACACACAAACAAACAAACAAAAACAACACAATACATCTTAGGCATACTGGGACACACAGTTAAGCAAATTATGGCAGTGACCCATACATACCTTGAATGTACAGGGCTGCAGAATCCCGAATGCCATAGGCAATAAATGTGATCTCAGCTCCATTGTCTGTATCCCGTACTCCTCGAATGCGAAGAGATTGGTGTGTTCGTGACCGACGCATGGAATATCTTTCATCTTCCTGAAGCTGAGTACCATTTAAGAACCATGTACCAATAACTGAAGCAGAGAGCTCAATAGAGAAGAGGGCATCTTGCCCTTCAGGCACCAAGGCATCCTGTAAGGGAGCTTGTATTCTGGCAACTGGAACTGGAATAGAGAATCCGTTTATCCATGATATAGCAAGCAATATCCTCAACCATATAAAAATTTCATTAATCAAAAACAAAACAAAGAAAAAAAAACACCCACCCACACGGGATAATTGACTCAGCACAGCTGTTTTAGTATAACTGAACTTACCCAAGTGAACAGCTCTAGGGAACTCAACATTGTTGCTCTTCCCATACTTGTTCACACTGCAGATGCGAAATCGATAATCAGCCTCACATGGTACACTGTCACCAAGAATCTCTACAGAGGTGGCAGAGTCGGTAGTCAGGCACTGTAGCCACTCCTGTGAGCCAGTGCCCACTTCCTGTCGTTCAAGCACATATCCAGATGGAGGGTTCTTTCGTGAGTCCTGAGCAGGAACCCATGAGAGAAGAGCTGCATTAGCACGCTCTGTGTTGATCTGCACAGCAACTGGACAACTGGGAGGACAATGTCTGGCCGCTGAAACAGGAGAAACCCTTTATTTATCAATGTCTCTTTAGATTGAATTATCCGCTAAATGTTGATCAATTTTCAGAAGTTACACACTGATATTTTATTGATATATTTTTGTGGAATGCTACAATCTACAGATGAGGGACCCTACCTTTCACTCTTAGCTGAGAGGAAGTCTTGGATCTGCCTACAAGGAAAGTTACAAGGCCAGAGTCTTGGGGCATTGTATTGACGAAAACTAGGATGTGAGTTCGACCAAAGGACTTAAGGATGGTCTGATGCGTTTCACGAAGCTCAATGGCATCTTTGTACCAATGTATGTCCATTTCCTCTTTCTCCACTTCAACACAAAAGGCTGCATTTTCACCTTCCAATACATCCACCTTTCTTGGAAGCTTCCGCAAAATTGTCCCTGCAAAGAAACACTTTGACAGTGAGTGAATCCTTAGCACATTAGCTGGATTTTGATTACCTAATGGAAAACAAGGACCCCACAAATAATTTGACAATATGTCATTTGTAATAATCTATCAGTGCATCACATATATAATCAATTTTATATAATTAGCATTGAAAAAATAAAACCCTCTTCTGATCTGACTCTGCTACGGTAATGGTTTGGTTGGGCTTAGGCAATAAAATGACCTCATTAGTTCAAGGAAGAGATCACTGTCTTAGTTAAAATTATAACATTGTTAAGGTTAGTGGACCTTCATTGTCAAAAAAACAACAACCCAACAACAACAACAAAACAAATCAACACAGTCTCACTCCGACTTTATCACATTTGATCACGGACTTTCCACGTCTAGATACGACATGCAAGGTACCCTGGGTGCATTGGTTATTGACGTTCTGGAACAGCATGTCAAGATCTGCCTGTTATATGCATTGTCATTTTTCAAAACACACTTCAGTTTTCACAGGAAATGTACAGTTTGCATACAGTCTCTGTCAAAATAAACGCACTATGTTGATACAACATGGCGAATTGACGTCTCTTTTCCCTCAACAGCAAACGCATGTAGTTATGTTAGGCAACAAAAGCACGTGGTTGGGTGTAGGTAAAAACAACAGGGTTTGGTACAATCTTACTGGAACTGAACACTGGCCTCCCAGATGAAAGTTGTTGGTTGTTGGACCCATCCACCAGCCTTCCCACCCACCCTATTCGCACTTTCGCCGCCTTAACTTTAGTTCTTTTCTCACCCCGCATTTCCCCCTGACACCGATGGGCCGGCCGAATATTATGCCAACGTGAAAGGGCAGACTGTGTCTGACGCCAGAAGTCACAGGATTTTGGCGTCTGCAGAGTGAGATCAGGTTGAACAAATAATTAATTGGTCAGGGTTAGGGCATAGTTGAGGTCACGGTTACAAGAAACTGTTGACTGTTGGTAGATATCACAAATTGAAGAGCTGTCTCCCATGGTAAAGTTCAAATGTTTTGTTGACACGTCCAACCACTTCCACCTGCTCTACTCTGCCACAGGGCTTTCTCACTTATATTTTCTGAACGACTGATACTATGTTTTGCTCAGAAGCAAAGTCTCATAATGGACAATCATATAGTGTTTCCCAATTGGCACTGGTTGAAAGAACATAGATGAAAAGTAAGATCACACAAAGTGCTTTCCCAAAGTCAAATTACCTCACAAAAACTGAGACATTCGACTGTAAATACTGTAAAGGTACCACAGTCTGAAAATAAAGTAATATAATTTGGTTGCTTTATCATGTGCTTTTGTATTTTTCATGGTGCTTTTTTATTTCGTCCTGATTTACCTTTCACAGCTACCTCTGCAATGCTTCTGCCCCCATCAGGCATCTCGCAGAGGTAAATCCCATCATCGTCAACTCCGATGTCACGGATAGTTAGTCGCCGTTTTGTTCCCCACTCCTCCATTCCATATTTGGCCCCTGGCTGCAGTCGTCTGTCCTCCAGATACCATGTGATGGGAACAGAGTCCTCTGGAACTTCACACTCGAGAATCGCCAAATCTCGCTCCCATACTTCTAGATCAATGAGAGGCTGCTTGAACCGCACAGGCGGCTCTGGCACCAAAGAGGAGGAAGCACACCGGTTTGATTAAGCCATTATAACATTTCCTAATAAAGAAATGCAGTTAAAAATCTAGCTTCAGATGTTCCTCTCGACAAGTTATCAAAAGCAATAGTGTTACTTGATCAGTCTAAACTCTTCAGGCAAGTCTTACACAGCACATCGTCTGTGTCCTTGTAGTAAACAGTGCAAATTGAAATATATTTGGCAGTAAATTCCAGTGAAGCAAACAAGATGAGCAAAATCACGAGACAAGTGGCTCATTTAGTTGAGGAATGGAGGGGTCATTAACACATCAGGGTGTTAGATAGGAAATAAACTGTTTGTAACTGACACCATCAGACAGTACCAGACAGTTGTAAACAAAAGAATGTGGACTGTATTTAGTAGTCTGTGTGCAAAGCTCTTCATTTCCTTATCTCACTAATGTTTTAATTCCAATTTATGTAAAACACACAGACAACTGATGAAATACATTTACCATATTCCAAATAAGTCGACTTTAAATCCAGCCACTAGACACCACTGGCCATTAATCCCACCCCAATATAACTTTCTTTATCTCTGAATGACACAGTACAATGCTGTCTGTTGGTGCCATGAGTTTGGACTTCTCTGGGCCATGTGAGAAATATGATCCCCTACCCAAAGACTTCGATCACATGGATGCCCCCCCAGACCTTTCACAAGCTAAGTGACTTTGCAGACATCATACTGCTGTTGGAATCCACCACAAGCTGATGAACTTTGCCTGTTTAGATGTCTCCTGGGTTGAATTTCAGACTATTATTATGTTTCATTTATCCACCAATGGACCAGGACTGAATGACTTTTAATGCACCTGCTCTTTAATGAATTCAACTGACTGATCAAACACAGCCATATACTTGACTTGTACGTCAGTGAGTTTCTTAAGTGGACATTTGTCAGCAGGAACATGTGTCATACAATAAGCATTAGTATGCTATTGAATACAGCTGGTGCTGTTATTTGCTTTGGTCAGCATTGCTCATTTCTGTTACTATCTGCTTCAAACACTGAGAGAATAATCTTAATTGTACCACTCAAGTATGTACTTAGATAATTAAATTAGGTTTTTGGTAGAAAATTTATTATTATTTTTATTATTATATTGATTTTTACCAATAATCAATACACTATTTCTTTATGGTGTACATGTTTGTAAGATGTATGCATACTGAAGCACATTATATTAGCATTTTAAAGCATCATCATTCCACCATAACACTTTTTAAAGTTTAATATCGCCTTCCCTGTCTGGCCCTACCCCAATAAATGATCTCAGAGTACCTCTTTGGAGACATCTCACTGACATCATCCGAGCATCAAATGGATAGAAATCTGATCCAAGAACACTCCACACCCTCACTCACTCCTTTACTCGCTGCAAAAAGCCTCACAGGCTGCCACCATGTCTGCCTTTACTCTTTTATGTGTATGGATTTTTCTTCACATTTTACAAAACTGAAATGCTGAAGCCCCTGATAATGATCTTGACTTACCCTTTACGGAGAGGTGTACAGCACTGAGGGTTTGTCCGGCAGTATTTGACGCAGCACAAACATAAACTCCATTATCCTTCTGCTTACAGTACAGAACTTTAAGTGTGAAGTATCCTTCTCTGTCCTCATATAACAAATAACGCCTTCCAGACAGTATCAGCCTGCCATCTTTCCTCCAAATGATTTCTGGTTTGGGTTTCCCAGTCACAAAGCAGCGGAATTTGGCATGTTTACCCTCTGTCACTGCAAACATTTTCACTTTAGTTGACTTGGTCATGGTGTCGTCTCTGAGCCGGTTTGGCATTTGCCTACCACTCCTCTGTTTTCCTTGATGGCCTTTCCAGTGGCCATTCGTGTAGCCGTTACGATTCCCTTCTTCCTCATGTCCTGGGCCTGCATCAACCAGCAACACAGCTCCTGCCAACGCTTCCCCAAACTCATTTCGGGCTTTGCATGTATATACACCACCGTCTGGAGCACGAGTCTTAAAGATCTTGAGCTGGAACCATCCACCGTCCTGGAAGCCCACATTGAAATGTGTGCTTTCAAATATTTCATTGAGTTTCCTGCCATCCTTTTCCCAGACAACCTCTGGTCGCGGGTTTCCCCAGAGCTTACAAGAGAAGACAGCATCATCCCCACGACCGGCGCGAGTGGAGAGGGGCTTGATGAGGAATCGTGGCTTATTTTCCTCTCGTAACTCCATCTCTTGTGCTTCACCTTCCACCTTCAGTGTGGCAGCTGCATATGTTTCACCAATGCTGTTCTTTGCTTTGCATATGTACTGGCCACTATCCTCTGTGGTCACAGCTGAAATGATAAGATTGTAAACATTTCCATCCTCAAAGACCCGGTATCGTCCCTGTGGATCAATCTTTTCATTGTTTCGCTCCCAGATAACTGCAGGCCTCGGATCACCACCAATTTGACACTTTAGGACTGCGTCAGTTCCACTTTGTACCACCACAGGTCTTGGATAGGCCAAGAAACGTGGTGCCCCACCGAACACATCCATATCTGCTTTGTTGTCGGCCTCACTTCACCGTCAGCAGTCCAGGAGAGTACTAAGTGGCGGTTACTCACTGGGGGAAGACAGTCCGACCTCTGAACTGCAAATTTCTAAAAGAGATATAACAGATTAATATTGAATCACTTCAGATTGAGATAATATTGAGCATAGAAATAGCTAAAATGTAATTTTTTCTTACATTGTCGCCAGATAATTCAACCTTAAATGAAATAACTGTATAGGAGATAAAATTATACTTTTAGCCTTGTAGTAAGATGGAAAAGAACCCTCATATTTTGGAATGGAAAATAAAACTTCTGTCATTCACTCAGCCTCTGCCTCCTTCACATGCATGTGTTTCAGCACAAACGGATGGTATGATTATTAGGGCTAATTGAATTAGATCTGTCTGCATGAGAGAAAAACACAGGCTAGCAGTGAGAGGGGGGACAGCCTAGCCCTATTGCAACAGCAGCCACAACACATAGCCAGTACAGCTGGTGCTGTATTTCAATGGGAAAGTGCTTAATATAGTATGCCCTAAATAAAGACCTGAGAGGGAGTGTGTGTCAGGTATCACAAAGAAGGTTCTGAAACCCGCGTGCTCACACAAACACACGCCGAAAATCACAGTCTGCCCACCCATGAGACCTTGCAGTCAAAATATGCCGATCATATGTCACTGTTAAAATGAAAATAATTTTCACGGTGACATTCAAAGTAAGACTTTCCTGAAAGAGCTGCTATCACATGCTTTGTTGGCTGCTCTGTCAGTCCTCATATTCATAAGTAAATATCAGTTAGCCAATCACAGAAATGTTGTTTATACTACAGTTTGTAACTCTCTCCCACTGAACACAATACTCCCCTTTTTAACATCTGTGTAAGCTCATTCTTTGCCTGTAGTTTTCCTTGTGGAGCCTCTGAGCTTGAGAGAACGTATTTATCAGTAAATTGAGTTTATGTGTTTTGGGACAGCTCCCACAGAGTGTTGTAACTCAGCCTTCTTGGATGCATGAAACACAGTTTCAGGTCTCAAAGAAAGTAATCTCAGGATAGTGTTTTTGAAGCCACCTAGTTGTTGATCACATTAACTGAAACATTTGCTAACAATATAAATATAATGATTAATAATAATTATTATACTATTCATAATAAAATATTGTTATTCAAACACAAAAACAACCCATGGTCAAATACTGGAGAACTGAACAATACAGTCTTGTATTCTTTAACACCTTTTAAGGTATTATCAATCCTAATGTGAAACGCATGCAGACTGAAAAAGAAACACAGCTTCTCTTTGATTACTTCAGCCAACCCTTAAAATGTTTTTTGAATTAAATTTAAATTTTGATGTAAAAGAGAAAGTTTAATCTAACAGTTTTAATTGCTTAACAATCAAACAACTGCATAGTGATAAAATCTATTTTGTATTTATTATATAATCCCTGAATCTATTACTTGATATAATTAGGTGTTTGAATGCATTCTATAAGTTGCATAAAAACAGTTTTGCAAGATGTCTTATTGACAGAGTTTGGACATTGCGTTGAAATTGTCTTAAATATTCCCTCCGGAGGTTTAAAGAGAGGAGATTAACCCCTGTGTTTACTTGTCTGATTTAATTGGAATGACCTCTGCCCCTTGTGAAGCTGTGCTGTGTACCCCTCACATGACCTACCTCGCTTCAGTCGCCGGGAACGACCGTCAACATACATTCCGCACTTGCAATCTCTCTTTGAGGTAAGAAGCAATGCCACCCGTCTCCTGAAGGCTGAGTAATGTCCCAAGTTGACTTCAGATCCAGACACATGCTCTCCTCAGAGGTCCCAAATTGTACTCCAGTTCATCTTTATAGATTTTTGTCAGGAATAGAAAACAGAATTTCAGTATCCACACCAGCTTCTTGTTTAACAACTTCAGAGTGGTTCCCCAATCTCTGTGTCGTTCAGGCCTGAGACACCCCAAGTGTCATTGTTCGTGGAATACCGTTAAATGCTTTTGCAGCTGCTGCTGTCCCCTAAAAATACTGGCTGCCTCGATGACAGCAGTCAAGATAAGTCAGGCACTTCCATTCACTTGCCAGCAGGGGCTAAAGATAGTTCAGGTGGCCAGTGCATGTCAGACTGCTTAGCTTACTTGAGGCTTTGCAATAAAAATCTAAGGAGAAGAGCAAGCCTCTGGTCTCCAAATATTTTAAAGTTCACCTTCATTAAAGCTCCAACATTTGTTTTACAGGTTGTTCCCCAGTCATACAGTCTGTGACTATGACACAGTGCTAGAAGCCAGTGTGACTTGTTACAGATATTGTCATGGCTCAGAAATGTCCATCTCATGGTGTATTCTCATCAGGCTAGTAAATATCAGCACATATTAAATACATAATGACAAAAATCAAACAAAATAACATGAAATTATGAGCTGATGTTGTTTATAAACAGTTAACCTCAACAGGTCTATATTTATCAGCATGTGCAATTCTGAAAACAGTCCAGCCTCACATAATTTATTAATTACAAGGGATAGAAGAGGGGGAAGCCTTTGCTGCTGCTGCTGCTGCTTCTCCTCCCTGTACCATTATCACTTCACTCTACTGATTCACACACATTGTTTGCTGTTGATGCTTGAGGCAAGCAATGTTGTGATGTCATTTTTGTCAGCATCAATTGGGGCTAAAGGCAGTGGGAAATGTGTTTATTTCTAATAGAAAGCACAGATTTGATTGGCTGAGTAGCATAATGTGAGATGCGTGCAATTATAAGGGCAGTGGCAGGGACCTGACATATGAAATAATGATCAGGAATTTATTCTCTTTAAAATTAAGGCGTTTCTTGAACCTCTTACAGACTGAAATAAACTATCATGCAATTTAGAATTGCATGTATTAATTATTGTTGTATGTGATACTTTTGGCTGTCATGGCAATTTATTTATCTCAGCTTGTTTTTAGAGGCAAATGTACATTTATAATTGCATATATTTATCATTTTGAAATTCTATTTTACATATATATTATTTATGTGTATTAGCTGTACATGTTAATATTCACTTATGTATTTATTGTTATTTTATTAATGGTTTTCCACCATTAAGCACAAGTTCATCTTTGAATATTAGGATTAGGCAAGGGTGTTATGGGTTAACATATCATGAGTAAAAGTATCCAGGAAAATGGCTACTATCCTGTCTGCATTATATTATTATATTAGTGGATCATTATTACCTCCGCCAAGGAGGTTATGTTTTCGCCGGCGTTGGTCTGTTTGTCTGCAAAATAATTCAAAAAGTTCTGAATGGATTTTGATGAAATTTTCAGGAAAGGTTGATAATGGGACAAGGAACAGATGGTTCCTAAAATTTTGGTGGTGATCAGTTGAAGAGAAGTGGATAAAATAATAAAATGGCGGGAAATCCGAGCTGCTTGATGGAGGTCTGCGCTCTCGAGTGCTCTAGTTATTGATGTTTTAAAGCTGGGGTAGGAAGTAATCTGGAAAAGGTAAAAAAAAAAAAAAATTAAGATACACCCTCCTACTACAGCTCACTTCTTTCCCCTCTCTGTCATAAGCCCCTCCCACCAGATGACCATAAGCATATGCACGAGTTTCATACGGTAACCAAATGTCTCCCATACTTTGATTATTAAACCTTATTTAGTTGTGGAACTGCATGCAGCACATTTGCTCAGCCCCTCCTTTGCCCCACCCATTCTTTCTCTCCGTTTATCAGACCACAAATGAGACAAGAATTAGCTAGCTAGCTAGCCACCCACGGTCCCTCCAACTTACTCCCCACCGCTGTTAACTACTTCCTCAGGAGGAAAGTAGTAGCAAAAGGGAGATAGACTTTCAATCAGTGGCTGAAGCAGCTTGCTCATCATCCCTCACCATTTGGTGTCACAGCAGGGTGGCAGGGAGCGGCAAAGCTGGATCTAACCTGTGTAACAGCAGCAACAGAAAGTTTGCAAATCTGGCGGGGAGTTAGGGCTGTCTGGAGCTCCATAGCTTGGCTTTGTGCTGGCTGGATTTGGGTTGCTGTGGCCACTGATCGGGGTCCGTCTGTGGAGCTGCTACAGGCTTTCCTCCTAGCCAAGTGATCTGCAGCAGCGAGGGGTTAAGCGGAGGGCACACTGTGATTTGAGGCTCTAACATTAACCAACAGTAGCTGCAAAAACATGAATTTGAAGCAAAAGCTGTGAGCCGGTTAGCAGGAGGCTAAACTACTATAACATTTTTCTTTCCATGTCTTCAATGATACACGTCTTGTTTCGTTTGCTCAGACTCTCTTTCAGACAGCTTTTTTCGTCGGTGTCTGAAGCTGAAACTCAATGACCAAACACGAGATTTCGACGACTTGGGAGCGAGACCGGGTTGGGAGGATGGGTGCTGTGCTTCTGCGACAATGCTATCCCAGTATAAGCCATAATCAGCGATAATTGCTGTAAGAGCACAATGCAAAACAGCGGCAATAAGCTAGCCAGTGAGATACACATATGCCCTAACATGCACACACAGCTGGACTGAGAAACACAGATTACAACACACACACAGGTAGCATGACTTCAGTCTCTGCTCAGACGCCATTACTCCATGATATCTTTACACAGCAAGGTTTGCTGCTATATTTATGCATATCCCATACAGAACCTTTAAGTTAAGTACCTCAGTTACGAGAACAGTACTTGAGTAAATGTACTGACTTACAGTCAGTATCTATGCTGTGCAAATCATTTTATTTATCATTAACATCTCTGTGTAAAGCAGGATTTATTCCTCTGGTCAAATCGATGCCCTGCCTACGCCATACCCTACGCTGTAGCCTGACATGCACCTCCTTAGAAATGTAACTACACATCACAGCTACACAGACCTCCTGTCTATTTTGTAAGGTGGAAAACCATTTCCCTCAGTGGAAATAAACCTTTTATTTACTTTTATTTCACAAATAACAAACAATAAATTGTGAGGACAATAAACACACCACAAAATAACATTTTATGTCTTGTGAGCGATTTATCCTGGCTTCATATGAGAAGAGGAAATCTCTGCTAGCTAGCCTATTTAATACAATGTAAAATGCCACAGGCTTCTGCTAATAACGTTAGCATGTTGTATTTGTTCATAAAACATGCTTAGTATAAGTATAAGTTGGTTTGTCAGTGGAACTTGTAAGCTGTAATGGACCCGAAATTTGTAACGTTAACTTACGTTTGTTAAATGTTGCTGTTGTCCCTGGTTTCATTTCAGCAGAGGAGGTGTTCACGAGCCACTGGGCTAATTTTCATAATGTAAAATGCCATAGGCCTATGCTAATAATATTAGCATGCAGTATTTGTGTTTTGAATCAACTAAACTTTACAGACCTTCACAGAAACCCCATCGCCCACTAGTGTTTTGGAGGTGTAACTGCAGAGTGACACAGACAGACCACCACACAAGTATGAATGCTCACAACAACGTAGAGCTGATGCGCAAGTATGAATCCGCCTAAGAGCTGTGTCTGTAGTGATACTATCATTGATTCAGTGCCAAAGATGGAGGTCTGACCCAAACGGTAGATAAAAATGAAATAGCACGGGTGATTTTGGAACGGTAGTACTGTAACTCTGCTGAATCTTTTCCCTTGTTGGTGTCAGATATTTTAGACCTCCTAACATTACGCTATTTTGTCTCCTTCGTAAGCTGCAGTCAAGTTGGTAAACCACTACGTTTTAAGTCAACCAATAATTTTATTTACACTATGTACTGTGTGGGGTCATAGGACCTAAATTGCTTTTATACGACTTTATCCAACAGTTGATACAGTTTGACCTTACATTTCTTTTTTTCACAGGAGCCAGCAGGCAGTGTTTGATCCTATGCCTTGAGGGATGGGCCAGCACGTGGGCCTGGGTTTTTCAGTGTGTGAGACTGTTGTGTGTTTGTGAGACCTAGTCTCAGCGTGGGCTGCAGTGTCCCTTCAGCTGTTTAGTGGCTCCACAGCCCTACACTCCCCCCCTCCCTGATTTCAGCTGTTGGGAGTAATCTGATATAACCCAGACCTCTGTAGCTGGTTATGAAACACTTTGTGCCTACCACTGAGTAACAACTTAAAGGGTTGTTGTGTTTTCAGAACTTAGGCTACATGTTCTGAACTGACAACAAAATTCAAGTGCATAGTGTTTCCTTATGTTGTATCAGATCTAAGTAAAAGTGTTCGGGCTATATTGAGTAAGAACACAAAGGGGTTTGATTTTACCATGCCAAGAAAAACATAATGTTTTCATACTTTGCTGAAAAAAAAATATTTTTGTCATTGCTCTAAGGGCAGATTTCAAATCTTTTTCCTTCAAACAGGCTTCTCCAAACACCATACATTCAGATACCATCAAATATCTCCATTTCCTCAGTCCCAGGTCTCAAAATGCATCTGATGCTTTCACTTCTACACAAACACAGACATGTTTTTCTTGATGTTTGCTCTTTTAGCTAAATGCTTCAAAAGTCATGGATGCTGAGAATGTTTTCAGCGTGTCTGTGTTCCACGAAGCGCATTCAAATTAAAACTGTTAATTGATAAACAAATTTAAAAAAAACTTGGGGTGAAGTATAATGGAAAACAAACTTGGGTCAAACTGTCACCTGTCACAAGACCAGTAAATCACTGGACTAGACAGATGTGTGAAGCTTTTAAATCTGAACAGCGCTGACAGGATCAGCAGAAGGACCACCTGGTTACCATCACTGTTTCATCAACAGTGACTCTGCCAAGAAAATACAGTTTGTTGATGTTGACCATCAGGATCTGGACAGTGGGTTAGTCTGAACCATTTATTTGTACAGTCTATTGTAGCAAATGACCTAATATGGAAGAGATCAATAAGTGTGTCAAGGCCATTGATTACTAAACAAACCACTCCTAGGTGTCAGGTGATTTGGCATACATAGTGACATGTTACTCACTCTTTGTGCAATGTAAAGGGTTAGCAGGACTG